GTTCTCACTACCCTTCCTGGTAAAACTAATTAAAAAGTAGAGCTAATGATTTCATAAACACATAGCAGAAACAGTGGAACAGCTCTAGCTTTTAATTAACTAACCGAAGAGTACCCAAACCAACTTTTCAAAATACTTATAAACTCCAAAAATAGCAGTAATTCAGAAAAGAATATTTTATACAATGAAATGTATACTTAAAATCAGCAGAAACAAGAGTTTGCAATGTAAATGTGAAGTATAGCCAAACTTATATGAATTTGACTTTTTTTTAAACAAACCAAACTTATTCTACACAAACAGACATATTGCTTAGAAAGTTTACTAACACTTTGCTTATGCTGGTGATTCTATAAGACAAAGTAGTTTTATCATAGGAAAGGAAGGTAAATTTAATGAATATGTTAAAAAATCAACTCCTTAAAAGACAGCCTTCTATGTTGTTATCCTGTGAATATTTTTGTAATTATTCATTAAACTACCAAATTATTTGGTGGCAGAAATGTTTTAAGGTCATCCAGGTATCTCTAGTGCCTATCACGCTGAAATTGGCACCATAAAGCCTCTAGCATTTCTTAAAAGGAGAATGATTGACAACTTTTGTCTAAGAAAATGAAAAATAATTTGCCCAAAACATCAATTAAAGGCTGTTTGCTTTAGTAAAGGAAAATAACTATTAGAACCTCTTAAATATCTGCATAGTGTATTTGAAATCAAATATACAAATTCAATTCACTTAACGATAGCAGTATTTTACCTCCTTAGTTAAACTATGCTTTTGGACAAAAGTTCAGCTCTGCTTACTGAACTATATTTTAAGGTTGACTGTAGTCAGTTTTGTTTTGGGCAGACTTCAGTGGGAAATAAAAATCAGAGTTTGATTCTGATGTGACCTGGGCAGCAGCTAGGTTTCAGCAGAAACACATATTAATTCCAGACAATAGAACAGTCATTTATCTAAGCACACCTACATTTTCCCAAGTTGAAAAATCATAAATACACCAAAATTATTTTTTTCCATGAACTACATTTCCAGTAGGGATTGTTTAAAATTGTGTGTGTGTCTCAACTTTTCAATAGTCTTATTTTCGTGGTTCAAGGCAGCAGTCATAATGGTTAATTAAGCAAATGACTTTTAGAAACAGATTGCTTAATTTTGAATACAGGCTCTATTACCCACTTGCTGCATGAGTCTTAGGACTTATTTTCCTCAACTAAAAAATGCAGGGGTAAAACAATATTTACCTCATAGGAATAACAAATTAATAAATATAAAGTACTTTTTGAGCAACACTCCTTGGCACATTAGAGTTACCACTATTATTAAGTGTATACAATTCAATCGTAAAAGATATGCAACCTGAAGTCTGATTCCGAATTGTATTTTATCTTTACCTGAGCATTTTAAAATGAATTATAAGGAGAAATGTACCCCAGATATCTTACTATTCCAAACTTATTAAAAACAGTGGAATGTGCCCTCCTCAGCCAAGCTTTTACAAACAGCCACTGATGGAGAAAACCACATAGTCAATTCATCCAAGATATAAAAGGCTTCACAACACTTTCCCCCAAAATTTCAAGAGCTCTAAGATACTACCCAGAATCAACTGAAAAATATTTGTATAAACATATAAAAACCATTTTGAGTATCCTGAAAAAAATTAATGTCCAGTACATAACAATGGCGAAAAACAAACTGACTTGTAATTTCTATAAAGCGCTTTAAATGTTCTTTTCTTGTTAAACCATTAAGAATAACAACAACAACAAAAAATCCTAAAAGCAGTGACAAAAATAAACTTTTGTGTTGAAAGAATGTAGAGAAGGTAAACTGAAACTCACTCCCTAGGGAAGATGACAGTTTATTTTACTATTAATTGCAAACTTCTCATTCACATTTTATTCACATTTATTTTATCTTTTAAACAGATTGCAACTTGAAACTCAAGCATGTTCCCAAACACTGAAGTTAACTGTTTCCTGTTTCCATTCTATGCCTTTCTGTTTTCAGTTAGACTTCTGGATCTTATGGTTAAAAAAAAAAGCAAACAAAAAGACAGTCTTTTGTTTTGTTTAAAAGGGCACAAAAATCAGGCACTCTACAGCTGAAGTTTGTTTTCAGTCGTCTGCACACTTCTAATGAATGTCCCAAACTTAAGAGCACTCTGATTCCCTTTCAAGTATTACACATAAAAAACTTTAGAAAGAGCCAGCAGTCCTCCAAATTACAAATCTAAGTCTGTTTATTGAAGACTACCAGTCACTTTATTTTTGGATAGGGTTCTGTTACTAAACTATAACATAAACTACCCATGAACTCCGTTATTCCCAAGCATTAAATACCAACATTAAGAGCAAGTATTTCAACAAATATAACAAACCAACCTCGGAGCACAAAGTTGGCTGATTAATACTACAGCATAATTTCAAAACTATAAGCAACTACAACAAACCCCGCACCCACTCTTATGTAAACTTCTGGAGTAAGCAAAGTTGTTTGGCCTCACCTTACTTTTCACCTACCAAGGACTCTTCAAGATAAGACATCAATCGCAAGAAGACCAAAAGATCAAAAGATTCATATGTTGTCCCCATAAGCGAAACAACTAAAAATTTCAGGCGGCTTAACGTATTTAAGTTACCGAAGCTCAGGGCACTTCCCCAAGCTACAGCCATTTTAGATTCAGCCTTTCTTCTGAATTTCACGGCGGGGAGGGGGGGGTTAGATTTAAAACAAAAAAATTTTTTTCGTTATACTTCAAAATCTACCAGCCTTTTTTCGGGGGTGGGGGAAGTAGGCGGTGGATAGACAATTTAAATCAACGAAAATACCTCGCTACCAAGGAGAACCAGAACGCTGAGGGCTAAAGGATTTTTCTCCTTCACATACCCCATGTTTGACTTACACAAATATTTCCTTAGATTTTCCTTCATTGGGAAAAAGCCGTTGGCTCTAATTCAAAAAGAATAGAAAAAGAAACTCGTAAACCAAGTCACTCAACCGCCAAGGCGAAACGCCTGGAGAGGAGCCAGAGAGCCGCAGGTGAGCGTTCGGACCCGCAGACCAAAGTTAGAGTAGGAGCACTCTGGGCGAGACACGGCGACGCTCGCGCTGAAAGGGCTGCCCGCTGGGGGGAGGTGCGCGGTGCGAACCACGAGACCCGTTGGGTTCCGCTCCCCTTCCCGGGACCGACCTACACCCAACCACCTGTGTGAGAGCCTCCTTCAACTTGTTTCAACAGCCGGCCGGTCAGGCACCGGGCGGAGTCCCGCACCGGCAAGACCCTAAACCTCCTATTACCCCATGGTCTGGAACTCCTACTCACAGGCAGCGGCCGGGCTACGACTCGGGACCAAACGCTGAGTCTGAGGGCGCGTCCTCAGCTTCCTGATCCCGTAGAGATGCAGAGCCCACAACCATAACAAAGCTCTTCCCAAAATGGCTGCCCGGCCCACAAGACCCAGGAGGGGCAGAGAGGGCGGAGGGGGAGGAGCGACGACCAGACCAGCCCGCCCCCATTCGACCCCGCCTCACACACGCCCACCCACTCCCAACGCCCACAGGGCACGCAAGCGCACGAGCCCCGTTCTGATGACCCTCGCCCCGCGCCGCCAACGTTCGGGCGCTTGAACGGCAGTTATTCTTCGCCCCGCCCCCCCAGCTCCCTTTTCCCTCGGCTAGAGGCGGCGGCCATCCGAGTTTGGTATTCCCCTTCCGCTCCTGCCCAACACTAGGGCCCAGACGCGTGTCAATGATTGGGTGTTGTGTACGTGTTCCCGGTTTTCTCCGCCCCTTCGTTCTTTACCCTCCCACACCTCTGGGCCAGCACCCATCTCCAAATTACCTCTACGAGTACTAGCAAGCCGGTTTCGTAGGACCCAGCGTTTTCCGACCCTTTCCCACCTTCCTCTCCTTCACGTGCGCGTGTCGCTTAGACTCTAGCCCCCAGCGGACCACAGCGTGGAGCTCTTGAGGCCTGCGCGGCTGGGTCCGCCGCACTACCCTCTGGGAGTAGTAGTTCCGCTAGACGGTTGGCGTCACGCCCCCGGCCCCGCACTGTGCGGATTTCTGGCTTCACTTCCTGGCGGAGAAGATGTTCTCCGACCGAAAGTCTCATTGGGTATAGCACAACGGGAAGGGGCGGTGCTGCCATGACAAAAAAGGAAATAAAAAGTAAAAGCCTATCCGGACTACAAGTGGTTACTGTTATGCAGAATTTGCTGTGAGCCTCTCCTGAACTGGAAGCTAAAGCACATAATGGCCTGTGGCCAGTAAGCTACACTATCAAGATGGAGGAGGGATGGAGAAACTGGCTAGCGTGCCCCTCTTGAGCTCTCCTCTTGTCTTAAGAAGGCCGCTCAAATTGCTTGGTGCTGATCCCCTTTGATAGACTGTAAAATGGAGGCCCCGAGAAGGGAACTTGTCCAGGGTCACATACCGACAAAAGTTAAAGTGAAGGGGACAAATGACGTTTCTGAATCACCCTCAAAGCTCTTACTACACCTTTCATGGGGGTGAAAATCCTGCCTCTCGTGCTCGTTATTTCTTAAGTTTCCAGGTCCCAGCAAGAGGAATTAGACAGCTTTTTATTTTCCTAAGTAGTACTAGTAATTCGGAACCCTAATGCGCAGCTGTGTCCCGTCGATCCTAGAAACCCTGTTGTTAGGCAAACTAAAAGGTGAGTTTCAGACGTGACAAGCAAATTGGCCAAGTCACACTTGGCCTAGACTCCAAACCTAGCCTACCTTCTTCCACCATCACTCTGAGATTGTTTCAGGAGTTGCTCTTTACGTACCCGAACTGGCTGGGAAACCTAGAATAGAGAGAGGCAAAGATCGTTCCTTACATACTTCAAAAGTCGGCTTTCACTAGAATTAAGAGAATGGACTTAAGACGGAAAGGAAAGCCCAACATGGGAACCACTTTTCGCTGGTCCAGTCCCCACCCGGAATCTTTCCCCCCGCCCCCGGTTGTCAGGAAGTTGGGGACTATCTAATCCCACTTGCCGGAAGTTCCTTTTCAGGAGTACGGGGTTGTTCTAGTTGATCAGCGTTCCATCTTCCCGCGCAACACCGGCAAGTGAGTAGCGGGGCTGCTGTGAGAAGTGCATGTTGAGAAGGGGGACACTAACCATGGCAGTAAACCAAAGCTGCGGGCATTGTTGGGATAAGTTTACCGTGGATCATTGTGTCCAGACCCCACATCCTTTCTCAGATGTAGCCTCTGAGGCTTGCAGTTTGCAACTTTTTCTTTTGGGGCAATGTACATACTGAGCGTTTTCTCTTGAATTGAGCGGATTGACCCTTAATTCCCTCACCAGTTGGCCGACCCCGGGCTTTAGGCTGTCATTTATTCGCTTTAAGTCATGAGTTGGAAAGCATATATCACAGTGCACAGGGAGTTCTGAAGGCGGAGGGAGCGCTGAGATTTTAAGTGGGGTGGTCCAGAAGGCCCGTACACAGATGACTTTGAGCAAAGGTGTGCGTGGGCCCTGCCCAATCAAATGTGTGTCTGGGAGTCAGGAGGTGTATGTGGTAGATTTTGAGATCTACTCAGAGGCCTAGCATAACTTAACTTCCAACTTGCTTCCTATGTATAGAATGAAGACATTGACCAGTATACAGGAGTTCTGAGATCTGTGATCAAGAAATTAGTCCATTAAAATAGTTAATTAAGAGGAAACTGGCATTTGGATTTTTTTTAGACACCTCATTCTCCAGGTTAAGAATGGGACTCGCATAAGACATCGGGATTCACATTCTCAGTCGTGTACTGGTTGTTTATCTTAGACAGGGTTTGTAACATTCCCTCTTGTGTGAGGAGGAAATAATAGCTGATTTTTTTTAGTGCTTTCTTTGTGTCAGGGACAGTTCTCAGCTCTTTATATGTATTAACTGATTTAGTTTTTCTAACGACCCTGTGTGGGTACTATAATCCTTATTTTTTAAAGTTAAGTGAACTGCACCATAGCAAGATTACATAACTTGTCCAAAGTCATATAGCTAATAAGTGGTTGAGCCAGATTGTTTGATTCCAAAGTCTGTGCTCTAGCTTAACAGGTTATACAGTCTCTCAGCACCAACCTGATGTGGTTATTGTATTAAATGAGTTAATGCATGTAAAACATAAGCTATACTGTCTGGTTGACAGCTGAATTGTATTACTATGTCATCATTTTGAGCTGTAAAGTCCCAAAATAGGTAACTAAGGGGGGGGGGAGAACAGAGATGCTATGACCTTCAGTTTTAAAGATGAGAAAATTGTCACTTCAAGGACGCAATTTATCCAAGGTCATACAGCTGGGACATGATGGAGGTACACACCCCCAACAGAAGACCTGGTCCGCAACCCAGGCATGTGCCCTGACCTGGAATCAAATGGGCAACTTTTCAGTTTGCAGGCCTGAGCTCAACCCACTGAGCCACACCAGCCAGGGCTATGCATTACTCTTTTCAGAGAAGGAAAGGATCTATTAACATGTTACTGAGTTTTTGAAAACATTAGTTAATGATTGTTCTCAAAGGAAACTGTTATATGGAAGAAATTCCCATTACTTTTTAAAAACTATAAAATGAAGAAAACTAAGTGACATCTTATTTTGTACACAGGAACATGCTTCTGATTCAGCTTGCCCACTTAGCTGTAAAAATACATTAATCAGAACTACCTGGCATCCTCCTGAACAAGACTTCATTTGGGCCCAGTATGCTTCACTTCATCCAGAAGTTTTCTCAAGCATCTTCAAAGGTTGGTTTGTTTAGCAAATATTTGAACACTACTTGCCAGGCATGGTTTGGCTGGGCAATAGCAGTGAAAGAGGACAAAAAATCCTATCCTCATGTATTTGGGGGTGGGGATAGGGGTAAAATACAAAAAAGTAAAATATTTAATATGTCAAGTGGTAAGTTGTGGAGAACTATAAAGCAGAGGAAGGAAGCACACTGTCAACAACAGATTGGGGATTACACTTTTTATAAACAGGGTGGTCAGAGTTAGGGAATGAGCTATGCAAGTGGCTCAGGGAAGAACAATCAAGATAAAAGGAAAAAGGAGGCCCCAAGATGGAATTATTCTTAGCATTTTAAGAAATTACAAAAATTCTTAAATAACCATTTCAATTTTCCTTTCATCTAACATTTCTTGAGTTACTGTTGATCTGTTGGTTGAAGTTTGGAATCTGCTAACTAAAGTACAGAATCAGCAGGGAAGGTTATTTGGTCATATACCATGAAAGGCATTAGGGACTTTTTTTTTTTAAACATTCATTGTTCATCTGAAGGTCAAATTTATTGATTTTTAAAATATTTTACATATTTATTTTTTTTTAGAGGGGAAAGGAGGGAGAAAGAATAGGAGCTAAGCATCCATGTCACAGAGATGGGGGACCTGGCCTGCAACCCAGGCACGTGCCTTGACCTGGAATTGAACCAGTGGCCTTTGATTCTCAGGCCAGCACTCAATCCAGTGAGCCACACCAGCCACACCAGGCAAAGAAAAAATATGCCCTTGGCTCTTGAGTCTACTCAGACAAGTAAACACAATTTTAATTCATTGTGAGAATTATAATGGCAGTGCACATAGGGTACTTATAGGAGCATTAAACCAGGTGGGACAAAGTTTTAAGCTGAATTTGGAAAGACAAGTTCCCACATAGTAAAGTTACTAGTAAGCCAGTATTCTAGGCAGAGACATGTAGAAAAACATGAAGTTATGAAAAGTATGAAGTGTTCATACTTTGGACACTAGATTGCTAAATTGGAAAGTAGATTGCTTTTCTCTACGTAAATAGAATACCTGCCCTGGCTGGTGTGGCTCAGTGAATTGAGCACCAGCCTACGAACTGAAAGGTCATTGGTTCGATTCCCAGTCAGGGCACATGCCTGGGTTGTGGGCCAGGCCCCCAGTTGGTGGTGTGTGAGAGGCAACCAATTGATGTATCTCTCACACATCAGATATTTTTCCCCCCTCCTTTCCCCTCTTCCTAAAAATAAATAAATATTAAAAAAAAAAAAAAGAATCCCTAGTGATTAGTGCAACTGCTTTTGCAATTTATAAATAGGAGAGGCAGTTTAGAATGCCAAAGGTGAACATCTAGTCTTTACCTGTTCTTTGAGATATTTTTCTCATGGGATAAGATTAATGGTAAGCCAAAACATTAGTTTCTATTCAGTAGTTTCTTTTGCATTTTGTATAGCTGTTAATAGTCTTAGCCAGCAATAACATCACTATGTAGTCCAACCTTTCTGTAAAGATCAGTGTGCTAACAGAAGCCAGATAATTTGTTTTTAATTAATTAACTTTTTAAAGCCTTTATTTTTTAAAGATTTATTTATTTTTAGAGAGAGGGGAAGAGAAGGAGAAAGAAGAGGAGAAAACTATCAATGTGGTTGCCTCTTGCACACCCCATATTGGGGACCTGGCCCACAACCCAGGCATGGGCCCTGACTGGGAATCAAACTGGCGACCCTCTGGTTTGCAGCCCACGCTCAATCCACTGAGTTACACCAGCCAGGGCAATAATTTGTTTTTACATTGTTCTATGTTGGAATTAACTAAGACATTGGTGATTTTAAAAAAAAACTTGTTTTTGTCTTCTGGTTCTATTTTCTCTGCAGATGCTGAAGTACCCTTTCATGGTTGGACTAGGAGCCAGCGGGAGAACAGAAACACTTTCTCTCAAGACATGTCTCCAGCAGAACTTTTCACCTTTGTTTCTAAGGACTTTGCCCTTCTCATCCTTTCTAGTGTGTATGAACAAGACACAATACTATCATACTTCTCCATGCAGCTTTAAGAAGAAGCCAGTACTTCCAGCCAGGCCACAAAAAACTATCATGTACCTTCCTGACAGCCCAAAGCCAGCATTGTATATATCTCTGGCAGGACTAATCCCTTTCTTTGCGCCACCACTGATCATGCTGATGACAGAGACTTACAGCCCTGTATTAGCTTTTACTCAGATGGCCTACGGAGCGAGTTTCCTATCTTTCTTGGGAGGGATCAGATGGGGTTTTGCTCTGCCAGAAGGTAGTCCAGCCAAACTAGACTTCCTAAATTTAGCTGGTAGTATAGCTCCTGTTGTGTTTTCATGGTTAGCCTTCCTTATTTCTGAAAGGCTCAGTGAAGCTATAGTCACAGTAATAATAGGTTTGGGGATAGCATTACATAATGAACTTTTTCTCTTGCCACATTATCCCAACTGGTTCAAAGCCCTGAGGATAGTAATCACTTTAGTTGCCTTTTTATCATTTGTAATCACTTTACTACTTAAAGATATTTATCCAGAGAAAAGACCCAAGAGACCTGGTCAAGTAGAATAAGTATGAAACTACCCTGTAGATGATGTTAGCATGTTGGTTATAAGTCTTGTAAGATTGTTTTGCATCTCCTTTTTCTTCAACTGTTTAACTGTTTCCCACCAATGATAATTTATTCACATTTTTTTCATTTCTAGAAATCTTTATTTCATAGGATTTATATGATTAACAGCATGAAAATCCTTAACGAGCCTTTTTCATGTCACATTAGGTTACAGTTCTCATTCAGTCTTATGAATTATATAGCTGTCCACTTATACATTTCAATGTTTTAATTATTTTGAAAAATGTAAAATAAAAAAGTGAAAAAATCCCTTTTGCTAGAGCCTATGATCACTGAAAAAACAGTCTTCTGTTTCAAGAGAATAACTTCAATCCATAAATGTCTAAAAATAAGTGGTTCAAGTTGCCCCTGGTAACTGCATTTCCAAGTTCATTTTACCTGGTGTAACTTACATTAGCTGAAAGGATCTTTGGCTCTAAAGTCATTTGGGAGTAGTGTCACAAGGGCAAGTCATGTTTAAAAAGAAGGTGGATACATTTTCTACTTTTTATCAGGATATTTGGCAGAGTACAGATGCAACTTATCAACAAAAAAACACACCAGTGGGTCAAAATTATTTAAAAGAATAAAGCCACTAATGCAAAAAATTAGGAAATGTCAAGCTGGAGCTATCTTGATATTCTAATGAAAGGAGCTAACTGGCTTTATGTACATGGTTTTTTTTTTTAACTTTATTTTTTTATTATTTATTCTATTACAGTCATCCTAATTTTTTCCCCTTATCCAGTCTACCCCTCTCTCCCGCAGTCAATCCTCTCTCCATTGTCCATGTCCATGAGTCATTCATTCATTTTCTTTGACCAGTCCCTTCCATTCCTTCCACTACTGCCCTCCTCCTCCCCTCTAGCTGTCAGTCTGTTCCATGTTTCTATGTCTCTGGCTCTATTTTTACATTTATTTAGTTCATTAGATTCTAGTTGTAAGTGAGGTCATGTGGTATTTGTCTTTTGCCTACTGGTTTATTTCACTTAACATAATAGTCTCCAGTTCCATCTGTGCTATTGCAAAAGGTAGGAATTCTTTCTGCTGCATAGTATTCCATTGTGTAAATGTACCACAGTTTTTTAATCTACTCATCTACTGATGGGCACTTGGGCTGTTTCCAAGACCTAGCTATTATAAAAGTGCTGCTATGAATATAGGGGTGCATAAGTTCTTTTGAACTGGTGTCTCAGGATTCTTGGGGTATAGTCCCAGAAGTGGAATTGCTGGATCAGCAATTATTAAATTGGCCAGCAGTATTAAATATTTTAAATTAAATATTAAATTAAGTATTTTTAATTTTTTGACAAAATTCCATCCTGTTTTCCACAGTGACTGCAGCAGTCTGCATTCCCACCAACAGTGCACTAGGGTTTCCTTTCCTCCACATCCTCACCAGCACTGGGTGGTTGTTGATTTACTAATGATGGCCATTCTGACAAGGTGTGAGGTGATATCTCATTGTGGTTTTAATTTGCATTTCTCTGATGGCTAGTGTTGAGGATGGTTTTACATGTTAACTCACAGAAAGCTTTTTCAAAACAGCTAAAGCATTACCTTAGAATTCTAACTTGAAAATCTTGTCTCTTGAGATTCTTAGTAAAATAAAAAAGGAAAAACATTTTAACTGGTGTAAGAAAAAGAGTAGTGTAAGAATATAAATAAGGAAATGATACCACCTTGGTATGTTATCTGCTTAGGTATTCAAATATTAAATTTCATAAGTAGATTATATACATATGATTTCCACTAAATTGATTCTTGCTGTGAAAAGATAAGAGTCTAGACTGGTAACCTGTTTACTTTCTAACATACCTATTATGGGTTGAAGCATGTGATGAAATCCTAATCTCCAATATCTAAGAATGTGACCTTATTTGGAGATAGGTCTTCACAGAGATAATACGGTTAAGATGAGGTTGTAAGGGTAGACTTACCCTTAATAATATAACATTACTGGTATTATTATAATGGAAAATTTAGAGACAAACATGCATATAGGGAGAATGCCATGTACACGTGAAGGTGACTATGTGAGGGAGAGAAGCCTGAATAGATCCCTCTCTCTTAGCCCACAGAAGGAACCAATTCTACCAACACACTGAGTTCAGACTTCCGGCCTCTGCAACTAAGACAATAAATTCTGTTGTTTATATTTCTATGGCACTTTATTCTAGCAACTCTGAGCAAAATTAATAATAATAAGTATACATAAAATACCATAAGCTAGAACTTGTTCAGATCATTAAGAAGCTCACCAGTTAAAGACCATGGCCAATACCACCACATGATCCTTCTTTATTAACATAGAGAACAGTTTAGTACAGCCTGATAATAAAGGAAAGAAAACACATTCTTCAGAAGATTTTCTCAGAAGGAAAAGCAGAAATCAAAATACTTTATTGGTACATTATTTTTAAAGCATGATTCTCTTTATCATTACTTAGGAAACAGGATATTTTTAAAAATATTTATTTTTAGAGAGAGGGAACAGGAAGGAGAAAGTGGGAGAGAAACATCAATGTGTGGTTGCCTCTCATGTGTCCCCCACTGGGGACCTGGCCTGCAACCCATGTACCCTGACTGGGAATCGAACCGGCGACCGTTTGCTTCACAGGCCCATGCTCAATCCACTGAGCTACACCAGCCAGGGCAGGAAACAGCATATTTACAATTACCTCTCTTCAGGGATCATCTGGACCTATTAAGCCCAAACACTGTCTAGACATTACATTTCTGCCAGAGCAGTACATAATGCCTCCCTCCATGATGCCATTTTAGGTTGCCAGGTAATGATGAGAATTAAATTATAGGAACATTTTGTAAATCTCTTGAATCAGAATGCAGATTCTCTATAACCAGAAATATTAAAGGCATGTAAGCTTAGGTCATCTACAAATTATCTTTGACACTTCATTCCTTGCCATATTACAGATCCCAACCAAGTGTCTTGACCCTTCAGACTTTCGGAGCTTTCTGTATGCATTACATAAACTTTTCTTAATACAAGAATATGGTTAAGTTATGAAGAAAAGTATCCTTGAGGGCTAATCCAAATGTTTGACATGAAAGCTGTCTTTAATACTTACTAAGAGTTTTCTATCTAAATAAGCTGTTGATACTTATAACAATATTCCCAAGGGCTTTAGTACAGAAAAGGGGGAATCAGGAATATACTAATCAAATCCTGGAATCAGCTAGGTAAACCTAAATGTATGTAACATCTTTAACACAAATGCCTCCAACTGACTAACTAGTAGAAATAAAAGTGATGATCATGTACATGAATTTTCTTCTCAGAACTAGATAGAGAACAATTCTTTAAAATACTTCTGATGGGGGGAAATGAGTTTTGAGAAGTAGTTTTGGATCAGAAGCCTTTCATCTCATACTTATGAGTCAGTGTCGGTAAGAATTTTCACATCTGTAATTCCATATTCTTCAAGCAAGGCAGTAGCTTTGTAGTAAGCTCCTACTTAGGCTTGTCTAAGTACAAGTAAGCTTCACAAAGCTTGATGATCTAATAAAATTCCATCTTCCCAAAGCCAAACAAATATTTTTGGTGACTACTTAGAAAATAGGGAAGAAATTTATTAGGTGCATACCATCTACTGCGCCCTATCTGTTGCAATAAAGGACTATCACTAAGAACCTGCTCTTAATTACCTACTTGCGCCCTCAGTGTCAAGACAAAAAAAAAAATAAGTGAGCAAAAGCTTTTTTAATGCTGTTATCAATAGGTCAAAACATATATAAATAAATAGCTATATAAATAGCTAGGTATTTCCCACATGTCCTTCCCATTACACCTGTTGCCAATAAAAAGTTTAGGGCTATTCTCGAAAGAAAACGTGCAGGCAAGAAGGGGCTGGAAAAAAGCATTAGAAGTCATGAAGGGTAAGGACCTACACCCAAGATTATTCTATTCAGCAAAGCTATCATTTAGAATGGAAGGGCAGATAAAGTGCTTCCCAGATAAGGTCAAGTTAAAGGAGTTCATCACCACCAAGCCCTTATTATATGACATGTTAAAGGGACTTAGAAAAAGAACAAGATAAAAAATATGAATAGTAAAATGACAACAAACTCACAACTATCAACAACTGAACTTAAAAAAAAAACCCAAAAACTAAAACAAACTAAATAAACAACTAGAACAAGAACTGAACCAGAGAAATGCAGAAAACATGGAGGGTTGTCAGTGAGAACGGGGAGAAGATAGGATGGGAGGGAAAGGTACAGAGAATAAGAGGCATAAATGGTAGGTACAAAATAGACAGGAGGAAGTTAAGAATAGTATGGGAAATGAAGAAGCCAAAGAACTTACATGTATGACCCACGGACATGAACTAAGGGGAGGGAATGAGGATAGGAGGGGAGTGTAGGGTAAAGGGGAATAAAGGTGGGGAAAATGGGACAAGTGAATAGCATAATCAATAAAATATATTTAAAAAAGAAAAAAGTTTGGGCTAGTGAAACTCCTAGTATCACATAAAAGTTGGAAATAGTTTCACTGGCTTTTTGCTGTAGGTTAAACTATGGTCATGGGAAACTGTGCTTTGCACTGAATCATGAATGTATACACATTTTTAAACTGTTTCATTTGTTATTCTTACATCACAGAAGGGTTCTATTACAGCTTAAATTGCACTGGAGAAGCCACTAAAGGGGCTATTTGCCAAAAAGTTTCTAGCAAATAATTTTTACAAATAGGACTCTATTCCTAACTGGACAATTCTAGAGCATAAGTAGTATTTCTGTTAGTAAACTTAGAAAATTTTTGTGACCTCTTTATGAATTTAGGATATATTCCATATCCCTTCTCATTCAAATTCTTAGAAAAATAATTCTTTAGTCATTTATCTATCAAATAAATGAAAAACCCAACAGAATCAAAAGGTCCTATAACCAAATATGTGTGTGATTTGCAAAAGGTCAGGTCCTATACTTTCAAAATGTGTCTTGTATTCTCTTACAGTTCATATTTCATAGTACAGCAACACCTCCTTCACAACGACTGGTGATCATGTTACCAATTTCTGTCCAGGTATCTGAATGAGGGTTATAAACTTCAACTGAGTCCAAAGTACCTGGGGCCAAGAAATCATGGCTGGAAGATCGACCTCCAGAAACATACAGAAGCCCATTGACTGCCACAACACACATGCCTGCTCTAGGCACTTTCATTGAGGCAATTTCAACCCATTTTTCCTGGTGAAGAGAGAAAAAATAAGTTAGCAGTGTCATGAAATGATAATAGAGAAAACTGCTAAGAAGTCAGATTCTATGGTTCTTTTTACATGTTTAAATTTCAAACTCACTATCCAGTCACATTAGTATATAGAACATTTTTAAATGAACTTTCAAGTTGATATAGACAAAGTATTGGGTTGGCTGAAAAGTCTGTGGTTTTATTTAATAAAATAAAAGACTTTTTTTTTTCATTTTCACCAATAACTTTATTAATCTGGATACTTTGAATATGTTGGCTCTCTCCCATGTGGTATAACGTTGATTGTTCTCAATTGATGTCTCAACTTGATTGCTATCAACTTCAACCTAAACGTGACACATCATACAGCAAGAAATCTCCAGCATGAAACTTTGCAAAGCACTTTTGCACATTTCATCAGTCACAGCACCTTCTCCATACAATAAACAATTTTTTTGTGTTTCAGTTGTATTTTTATCTTTCTTGAAATAATAAAGCATAATATGCCAAAAATGTATATTTTCTTCCATCTTCAATATTAAAATGGCTACACAAAAAATTCACCAATTTTGATGTTTTTTTAAAAAATATTTTATTTATTTTTTTTAGAGAGAGGAGGAGGGAGAAAGAAAGGGAGAGAAACATCCATGTACAAGAGAAACACTGATCACTTGCTTGGGACCCACACTGCAACCCTGGCGTGCACCCTAACCAGGAATCGAACTGGCAACCTTTCAGTTTGTAAGCCAGCACCTAATGCACTGAGCTACACCAGCCAGGGTAATGTTTGTTTAAATGCACACTGATATTACAATTGTCACAATACAATCTAACAAAATTGTTTCAAATGAAGTTAAAGACAACTAAGTGCTACTAGAGTGATCTTAATGAAAAAATATAAATGAAATATTTGGCCAACCCAATAGTTAATTTAGAGGAAGAATAAGTCTGATTAATTATAAATTATTATCAAGAAATAATCTAGAGATAGATTTTCTTATAGGTAGGCTTTCTGAAAAACTAGTTCTATGGAATACAAGTAATGTACACCACACCCAAACTCACAAAGCTCCTAGAAGAAAACCACTTATATACAGTGTACAGAGGACTTTTATAAGTCTTTGAAATGCTAATGAGCCTTACAAACCTCCAAGGGAATGATATAACAAAAAACACTTGCCAAATTTATTTGACTATGTAATCCTTTCTGCAAGGATCATCTAGTTGGAGTTAGAGACTGCAAAACATATTTTCAGAAAGGTAGTGTAGATCAGGGGTCAGAAACTATAGCCTATTTGTGTAAGCCTACAAACTAAGAATTATTTCCACTTCAAAGAGTTACTTAAACAAAAAACAAAAATGAAAATGCAAAAAGAGAGATTGTATATGGCCCTTGAACAATAATTTTGCTAACTTCTTGTATACATTATTCTCTGAAGAAATTTCAATAAGCTGCTATAATCAAACTGAATTATAAAGTCCTACTTCAAGGAAAATGTCTATACTCAGAAAATAGGAAAGCCAATTAAGGTCCTGGGAAATAATCAAAAGAGGAACCGTTAGGTAGGAAAGATATTAAACCAAGGAAGGGAGGGGGAGAGACACATATCTCACACATTAACTCGGCAGTCCTGAGCCTGGGCTGATAAGATTGCCAGGTATTCCAAACATCACAGGAAACACCATGATAGCACAGGAGGAGAGGAGCCCTTGAAATTCTGTATGTGCCATTTCCACTATCTGGGAGAAAGCCTTTGAAACTGTGTATTCATCCCAAGGACTAGAAGGGGAAAAAGGAGGAGGTCTATGGTGCCCAAAGAAAAAGCCGGTAAAACAACTTTGGTTAACTGCCTGCCACTAGTCATTTTTTGTTTTAAGAGGGGGTCTCTAGTGCTTACAAAAAGAGTTCATAGATAATTTTGGGGTAACTGCCTAAACTTTGATTAACTGCCTAGGGTCATCTATCTGTTTTACAACGGATGACAAAAGGTGATATGGAGAAAGCTAAGAATTTGGGTTAATAACCCTCCACACATACATCAGTTCCTGAGGAAAGCTGTCACCACTTTTACCCACCAATCAATATGTAACTCCCTCACCCCATCCCTCAACTATGTAAGTCCTCAGGACAAAGGACTGATGTTTTTGCAGCCCAAGCCTACACCTTTAACCCTCACCTTGGCTAGGCCCATCCTCTTCTATGAAAACCTATCACTAATAAACTTTGCATGTTAATAGAACTTGCTGATCTGTAACTTTACTGTGTCAGCAAAAAGAACCTAGTTTTTCCTACAATAAAATGAACAAGTAGCCAAGTAAAAAAAGAACCCAGAAATAAAGTACAGGGTGAACAAAGTTTATAAAATTTTGAAAATTTTGAAAAGTGAACAATTATTCCTCAATGCTAGAAAGTGAACTTTTTCCAGTACAGCTCTAGCACATTGTAGAGACTGAATGTGTGTTTGCTGGTCTGAAGGTAAATGAAATACTGAAATACTAAACCCAGCAGCAATCCTTTGATATTGGAGAACCATATTAAATTCGAAGGCTGAATTACAGAACATATCACAGCGTGGTATGCGAACCAGAGGATCATGGTTCGATTCCTAGTCAGGGCACATGCCTGGGTCGCAGGCCAGTTCCCAGCAGGGGATGCACAAGAGGCATCCATATATTGATATATCTCTCCCTGTCTCCTTCCCTTCCCCTCTAAAGATAAATAAATAAAATCTTAAAAAAATATATGGTCATAATGTAATCCCTAAAACTACCACTAGGGAAAAAGGTGAAGAGATATAGGTAACTGAAAAGAAAAGAGATAAAATGGAATACTAAAATAATCAACCTAAAGACAGAAAAGTGGGGGAAGGTATCAAAGAATGGATAATACAAATAAAAAAACAGCAAAAGAGAAGTCTAAAAACCAACCACATCTGCAATTATATTACATATATAATAGAAATTTTAAAGACTCCATTTGAAAGTCAGGGATTGTTAAACTGCATAAAAAACACAGGTTACAACTACATGTAAAGACATAGATTTACATAAAGTAGAAGGAAAAAACATATAACATATGCCATGCAAATAGTCAAAACATAAATTGGCTATATTAATGGTTACACTAATATCAAAGTAGAATTCAAAACAAAGATTATTACCAGAGTTAAAAAAATTTCATATTATGAAAAGATCAATTCATTAAGAAGACATAATAATTTCAATGTTTAGAGACTTCATAACAGAAACTCATTTTTTAAATTGATTTCAGCAAGAGAAAGGAAGGGACAGAGAAACACTGACTTGTTGCTCCACTCATTCATGCCTTCCCTGGATGATTCTTGTATGTGCTATGAACAGAGATGAACCTGCAAATTTGGTGTATCAGGATGCGACATTCTAACTAAGTGAGCCACCCGGCCTGGCCCAATAACAGAGATTTAAAATGTGAAGCAAAACCTGACAGAATGAAAGTGAAAACAAACAAATCCATATTTATAGGTGGAGATTCCAACAATTCTTTCTTACTAATTTACAAAACAATCGGACACATTGGGAAGACTTGAGCAACACTAATCAACCTGACTTAACTGAAATTTATAGAACACTACACTCAACAACAAAATACAGTTTTTTTCAGGTACAGATGAAACATTTACCAAAAGAGAAATTCAAAGTATGCTTCTTGATCACAATGACATTAAATTAGAGATCAGTAACACAAAGATAACTGAAAAATCCCCAAATATTCTGAAATTAAAACATACACTTCTAACAGCTCGGTCAAAAAAAAAACTTGCCAGGGAAATCAGAAGTTATTTTTAGATGAATGCTAATTTAAACTAAACATACTGCCATGGCTGGGGTAGCTCAGTGGATGAGCACTGGCCTGTGAACTAAAGGGTTGCCAGTTTGATTCCCATGATGAATGCCTGGGTCCCCAGGTCCCCAGTAGGGGACACATGAGAGGCAACCACACATTGATGTTTCTCTCCCTCTCTCCTTTCCTTCCCCCTCTCTAAAAATAAATAAATAAATAAATAAATAAAATCTTGTAAAAAAGAATGTACTAAAATGTGTGGGGTGCAGTTAAAAACGTGCTTGAAACAATTTATAGCTTTAAAGGTTTACATTACAGAAAAAGAAAGTTCTGAAAATTAATCATCTAAGCTTCCACTTTAAGAATCTAGAAAAATAAGAGCAAATTAAATCCAAAACAAATGGAAGGAAGGGGGAAAAAAGGAACAGAAAAGAATTAAATAGAAGGGGGCCAATCAGTAGAACAAAACTAATGACACCAAAAGTTAGTTCTTTGAAGGAAAAGAGAAAAAAACCTACAAATGATCAATAACATGAATGAAAGAATGCACATCACTACAGATCTTACAGACGAATAACGGGATACTGATTATTTGAAATCATCCAACCTACCTCTTCAAAGGAATATTTTTCTACAGTATGAAGAGCATCTTGCGTCTCATTCCAGCCTCCAACAGAATAGATGCAGTCATTGAGTGCAGCCACCCCAAGATATGCTCTCCTGGTTCCCATTGGAGGAAGTGGAGACCAACGCTTGGAAAGCGGATCATAAACTTCAAAAGAACAAAGCTCTATTCCTTCATTGCTGATGCCTCCAATTACATAAATTAAACCTGGAAATAAAATATTTTGTTTAGATGCTATAGAAAATAGAATATAATAATTAGCAAAAGAAATAGTTGTGAGTTCAGTCTGCAGTGTGGGTGCTATATTCAAGTAGGACTTATTAATTTTTTAGGAGAAAATCAACTTCTGTCTAGTTTATCATGGCTCACATTTAAGCATATTACAAAGAATTAGGGGTATGAATTTAAAGTAGAATTGAATTTTCAAAGGACCTAATGATGCTATTAAATGTCAGACAAGGATTTCCCATCTTATCGTCTGCTTGATAATCTCAATTTCCAGATGTACTGCTACCATGAATAGGTAAAAAAGGAGAGGGAAAGGGACTCCCCCCCCTGAAAATACGCACTTAGCCCTGGCTGGTATAGCTCAGTGGATTGAGTGTGAGTCTGCGAACCAAAGGATCATGGTTTGATTCCCAGTCCCTTTTTAAATTTGACTGAAACAATGGCTCTGACCATCTATCATTTTTGAGTGCCCAGTGTGTTTCCCGTGTTCTGAAAGTGAGGAGTTATTTGGCATTTTAAGAAATGTGAGCTAAACATGAATAAACCTGGGTTTAGCTCCAGCTTTGCCAGTAACCAGCTATGAAGAAAGAGAATTCAGTCTTCCTAATCTTCAACTTCCTCACTTATAAATAAAGGCATTAAAATAGATAATCTCCAATATGCCTCTGTAGCTCTGATTTTAGCTGGGAAGATAAAGATAATAAATATAAAACAACTAAAGAACACTGTAATATTAAATAACAGAATATAGTCTGCAGAATGTAATTTGAACACTAAATGCTAGTGTAAATCTGAGAAGGTACTCACAAAGCAGGAAGAACTTGAGCTGGGAAGAAAGCAGGCTGAGTTGTCTGCTTTGGGCAGACAATGGGCAGACTGCTTCCTACTCTGCAGGTACATATAAATCTGTTCTCCAACTCTGGACAGAGAATCAGGTTTTATTTGACAGTGCTTACTACCTCTCAGGTATAGTAGACAATTAAAATAATGTCTGTGTACCACTTTAATATTTGGTACAGTATATTTCAAATCTATCAGCATTATATTCTGTGTGGACTGAATCACAATGCATCCTTTAAAAATAACACTGAAGCAGCCTATAAGAAGAGACTGTGAATATTGTTTTTGATGTTCTCTTCCTACTTAGAAACCCTTACTAAGGCCTGCATAGGAGAGAAAATTATTAACAATAAAGAATGACTTTTAAGTGCTTATTGTGCTAGTCAAGTATTTTTGCCTATCTGGAATTTAAATTCTTTGTTCATTTTGGAAAAAAATTGATTATTTTGGCAATACAGAAATACAAAATAAGAGGATAAAAACAGAACTTCAATGTTAGTGTTAACCATTTAATACTAATATAAACTATACTTCTGTGTAAATGAAGCCTCAAGCTCAGTTTTTTAAAAAAGTATTTTTTTTCTGGAAAAATATTTTATACAATAATTACCTTGCATTTCACAACAGCCAAAGTAGTAGCGTGACAAAGCCATGTTGCCAACTACTTCCCATTTATTTTCATCAGGATCAAATCGTTCAATGGTGTTCCCTATCTCAGCTCCAACCCATCCACCTGTAACCAAGAGAAAAATTTTATGTCTGGGATAAAGGAATCTTATTTATCAAAAACCCTTAGAAAACTTTTGATCTTACAACTTTATATTATGGATGATTATCATATGGAACAGAGGGGTTATTTGTCCAAGATCACATGAAAAGTTTGAATTTGACTATGAGTAGAACTCAGACTTTTTTTTTTTAATTAAATTTTATTTAGTTACTTTTCAAGTACATTTTTTTAATCTATTTCTCCCATCCCACCCCCCCCACCTGGTCTCCCTCCTCCCTCCCACCCGTCCCCCACTCAGTCCTCATCCCTGTGTCTTTCATACTTGTTCCTCAAAATCCCTCCCCCTTTTTCCCCTTAAATTCCCTTCCCTCTCCCCTCTGGTCGCTGCCCACTTGTTCTCTATTTCAGTGTCTTTGTTTTTATTCTGTTTGCTTGAGAACTCAGACTTTTTAACTCTCTGCCTTTTCAACAAGAGATTTAATATAAAACAAAATAAACATTTTAATATATTGCATAGGAAATTTAGTATTTCACAAAACTTTCATTATTTCTGCAAAACTATCTTTTAAAACAACTTCTGCATATTCAGAATACTTAATAATCATGAAATTTAACTATCAGCTGAAGTGCTTCATTGGACATTTCATCTATATTTTATCTCCATCTCCCTTTAAGAATTCCACATTTGACAATATTTCCCAAGTAATACTATTTTGAGAATAAGAATTTATAAACCTGAAAGGATACAAGTTTCTTATGGGAGTGAAGGAAAATTTATAAAGTAATCAGAATCTGATCAAGAATTTAAATAACAGAATTCTGGTCAAGATGGCAGCAAAGGTAAACATGGTTCACCTCCTTGCACAACTACATTAAAATTACTACTAAAATGTACAACAACCATCACTCAGAACTGTCAGAAACTGAGATGAATGCAAGTCTGACAACCATGGAATTAAAGAAAGCACATCTATCCAGACTGGTAGGAGGGGCAAAGATGTGAAATGGGCTGGTCCCACATCCATATATGGTGGATAAAAGTTTGGAGATATATCTTGGAAGTAGGAAGTCCTAGCCTCATACCAGACCCCACAGCCCAGGGTTCCAGTGTCAGGAAGATAAGCCCCCATAACTTCTGCCTTCAAAAATCGGCAGGGATTGAGTCAGTAGAAGAAATTTCTAGAGTCCCAAGCAGTTCCCCTTAAAAAACCTATTCATGGACTTACTCAGGCTCACTCCCTCTGAGCTCCAGCACCTGGGTAGCAGCTTGAAAGACACCAGTGGCATACAGGGAGGAAATGAAGTGTCTGACATCAAGGCAGGAGCTAGGAGACAGCTGTCTACCAGAGAGAAAGACTGGCAAAAGCCATTGTTCTTTCTCTGAACCCTCCCCTGCCAGAGCCATGATCTGGCAGGTGGGTGCCATATCTAACACTCCATCAACCTGGCTCATATTGTTTGCCCCACCCTTAAGATCCCCTGAGATTTGTTCCACCCAACTTACAGGCTCACCAAACTTTTAACCATGACTTTTTCATATTAATGGCTGGTCTTAGCTCATGCTTCACAACTTCCTAAATCCTCTCAAACAAGCAACAACCTGCCTCATTAAGCCCTAAGCCCATGTACCTGTTGCTAAGTGGCTCCAGGCCCAGTACTAGTACTAACCATCTGAGATTCATAGCTTGGCTTCACCTAGGCATCTCCAAGCCCAGATAAGTAGAGGCCCCTCTCATATTGGTTTACAGCTCATGCAGTGTGGCCCCAGGTAGAACACAGATGCGGCTGCTCTGGCCTGCAAAAAACAGGACATCCCAGAGACTGCACAGCCAATGGACAGCTACAGACCACATTGGAGCACCACCACCCTGCCCTTGCACAATTGATCCTTCCTGGAAGGTGCAGGTTGGTGGTCAATGATCACAGTCAGTTCTGTCAGCTGACTGGCCTGGGTAAATCCTCCCATTGACCTGCCAACAGCAATCAAGGTTCAAGAAGAAGACATACTCAGCTCACATGGTGGGCACACTTTGAGTACCTACCTTGTGTGATAGGGTAGACTGTGCCATGGGACCCTATAGGACACCTAGTACATTAGGCCACACTTCCAAGAGAGGGAATTATAGCAGCTCTACCTAATAAATAGAAACAAACATAGGGAGGCCACCCAAATGAGGAGACAGAGAAACAAGGCCCAAATGATAGAACAGATTAAAATTCTAGGAAAAGAACTAAACAAAATGGAAATAAGGAATCTATCATATGCAGAGTTCAACAACATAAAAATGATCCAGTCAGAAATGAAGGGTACACTAACTGAAGTAAAGAACAATATACAGGAAAACAACTGTAGAGTGAATGAAGCCAAGAAGCAAACCAATGATATGGAACATAAGGAAGCAAAAAAAAAAACAACCAATCAGAACAATAACAAGAAAAAAGAATCCAAAAAAAGAGGATAGTGCAAGGAGTCTCTGGGATAACTTTGAGCCATATAACACTGGCATTATAGGGTGCCAGAAGGAGAAGAGAAAGAGCAAGAAATTGGAAATCTATCTGAAAAAGTAATGAAAGAAAATTTCCCTAATTTGGTGAAGGAAATAGACATGCACGTCCAGGAAGTACAGAAAGTGGCACAGAAGGTGGATGCAAAGAGGCCCACTCCAATACACATCATAATTAAAATGCCAAAGGTTAAAGATAAAGAGAGAATCTTAAAAGCAGCAAGAGAGCCCTGGCTAGTGTAGCTCAGTGGATTGAGTGTGGGCCTGAGAATCAAGGGATCCTGGTTCGATTCCCAGTCAGGGCATATGCCTGGGTTGTAGGCCAGTTCCTAGCAGGGGACCCATGAGAGGCAACCATACATTGATATTTCTCTCCCTCTCTCCTTTCTTTCCTCTCTAAAGATAAATAAATAAAATCTTAAAAAAAAAAAGCAGCAAGAGAAAAGATGTTAGTTACTTATAGGGGAGTTCCCATAAGACTGTCAGCTTATTTTTCAAAAGAAATGTTGCAAGCTAGGAGATACTGACAAGAAATATTCAAAGTCCTGAAAAGCAGGGACCTATAGCCAACATTGCTTTACACAGTGAAGCTATCTTTCTGAATTGAAGGACAGATAAAGAGCTTCCCAGAAAAGAAAAAGAACTCAAGGAGTTCATCATTACCAAAACATTATTATATGAAATGATAAAGGGACTTATTTAAGAAAATTAAAAAATCAAATATGAACAATAAAATAGCAATAAATACATATCTACTAACAATTGAATCTAAAAAGCAAACTAAGTATACAAAAAGAACAGAGACAGAATCACAGATAACAGAGGTTTTCATGTTTGCCAGATGGGAGTGTTTAGGAACGGGTGAAGAGGTGAGGTATTTAAGAAATACAATTAGGGCACTGGCTGGTGTGGCTCCATGGATTGAGCATGGGCCTGCAAACAGAAGTGTTGCCAGTTACATTCCAAACTAGGGCACATTCCTAAGTTGGGGGCCAGGTCCCCAGCTGGGGACATGTGAGAGGCAACCAATCTATGTTTCTCTCACACATTGATGTTTCTCTCCCTTTCTTCCTCCCTTCCCCTCTCTATAAAAATAAATAAAATCTTTAAAAAATACAAATAGGTAGTTATAGAATAGCCATGCAGATATAAAGTATACTATAGGAAATGGAGTAGCCAAAGAACTTATACATATGACATAGACACGAACAGTGGTGTGGGAATTGCCTAAAAAAGTGGAGGGTTCTGGGTGGAGGAGGGCAAAGGAGGAATAATTGGGACAACTGTAATAGAATAATCAATAAAATATAATTTAAAAATAGAATTTAAATAATATTAGATATTCTTAAGTGAAGAGCATAATTACCCAAAGCATAGATAGCCCCATTACAGACACACACTCCTAAGCCACAGCGGGGGTGATTCATTGAAGCTACAGTTGTCCACTGTTTAGTAACTGGATCATAGCATTCGGTACAGTCAAAAATCATTGAATCTTTTTCACCTGAGTTAAATAAAAGAGACACATATGAGGAGGTTTAGTGATGCTAATAGCCTAGAATCATATTTACAATATCCAGTAGCATTCCATGTTGTCAGAAATTCAACTATTATGTCTGATTTATACTATTTGATAAATTTATTTGCTCAGCATGTTACTTTGAAACCATAGCACCATTATTCAGTAAATGCCATTTAATGAAGCAATGGCATAATTTTCCTGTTATCTATTACCACCAAACAATCCATATAATTTGCATTTTGACTCTGGTAAAATTTGAGTTTTAATGTAATCTTTATCTAGCAACAAATAGAAAACGAAACTTTAAAAAAAGATATCACTTAAGTCCTGACTGGTGTGGCTCAGTGGGTTTGGGCGCTGTCCCTCAAAGCAAAAGGTTGCTAGTTTGATACGTGCCTGGGCTGCTGGCCAGGTCCCCAGTTGGGGTTCTGTGAGAGGCAACCAATCAATGTTTCTCTAGCCTGTGTTTCTCTCCCTCTTTTTCTCCCTCCTCTCCCCTCTCCTTAAAAATAAATAAAATCTTTTAAAAAATGATACACAAAATAGAATTTTAAAATATACTATACCTAGGAGTAAATCTAAATCAAATATTGTACAAGACTTCTATAGTTAAAATTTATAAACTTTAATATTTTATGTATTTATTTTGAGAGAGAGAGGGAGGGAGGGAGAACAAGAGGGAGAGAGACATGATGTGGGAAACACCCATCAGTTGCCTCTCATATGCATCCCAGACCAGGGCCCTAACCACAACCAGATATGTGCCCTGATTGGCAACAAACTGGTGACCTTTCACTTTGTGGGTTGATGACCAACCAACTGAGCCACATCAGTCAGGGCTATAAACTTTATTTAAATAATTGTTTTCCTTTTTACTCCTCACCCAAGGATATATTCACTGATTCTAGAGAGAGAAGAGGAAAAAGACAGAGAGAGAAAAAGAGAGAGAAATACTGATTGTGCTCCTGCATATGCCTGACTGGGGCCTAAACGCCACCAGGTATGTGCGCTGACAGGGAATCAACAGCAACCTTTTGGTGCATGGGATGAAACTCCAATCAACTGAGCTACAGTGGTCAGTGCTATTTAGATAAAATTTTAAATAAGGAATATCTAAATAAGTGAAGAAATATATCACCTTCATGAATTAGAAGAGTCAATGTAAAGATGATGATCCTCAAACTGATTTATAGATATAATTTAATCCCAATTTTTAAGATATCCTTTCTTTTTTATTGGATTATACTTAACATAAAAGTTACATTCTCAACCATTTTTAAGTTTATAGTTCAATAATGTTAACACATTCATATTGTTGTATAGCCATCACAACCATCCATCCCACAAATCTTTCTATCTTATCAAAATGAAACTATACCTATTAAACAAAAACTCTCCATGTCCCTCCCCCACCCCTGGCAATCACTATTACATTTTGTCTTTATGATTTTGACTACTCTAAGTACCCCATATAAGTGGAATCATACAGTATTATTTTCAAAAACAAACTGATTTTAAAATTGAAATGGGAAGTACAATGGGTCAAGCACTCTCACAAAATGTTGAGAAACTGCCCTATCAGATAAGTACTTACAGACTTAAAATAGACCTTTAGTAATATAGGGGTAGACAAAAAGACCAATGGAACAGAAATCTAGAAATAGATCCATACATATGTAATTACTTGATATATGACTGTACTACAGAGCAGTGGGGAAGTATTTCCATGCAAGGATAATTGATATAGATATCTATTTATATAGATATAAAAAAAAACTGGTTCCTTACTCACACTATTTATAAAAACTCAAATCCAGGTAGATTACAGATATAAATGTGAACAGAAAAACTATACAATTTTAGAAGACAATAAAGGTATCTATCTTTGTGACTTTGGAGTAGGGAAGGATTTCTTTAAAAAAGTATAAGAGCCCTGGCCAGTGTGGCTCAGTTGATTGGAACCTTGTTCCATAAACTAAAGGTCATGATTCAATTCCCAGTCAGAGCACACACCTAAGTTGAGGGTTCAGTCTCAGTTGGAGTGCATACGAGAGGCAACCAATTGATGTTTCTCTCTCATATCAATGTTTCTCTCCCTCTCTCACTCTCTACTTCCCTCTCTCCCTAAAATCAATAAACATGTCCTTGGGTGAGGATAAGAAATATATAAATATATACATGCATATAAGAAACACTGACCATAAAGAGAAAAATAATAGACTTGACTACATTAAAATTAAAAACATCTGTTTATCAAAAGATCCCATAAAGTGTGAAAGGTGAAGCAGCATAGGAAAGATATTTGCAGCACATATAACTTTACAAGGGCCTAGAATCCTGAATGTATACAAAACTCCTACTGTGCAGAAAAGAGTTAACATAGCAGACCTAAGACTGCCTATCCTTAGAAAGGCCTCCTTTGCAAGGCTGACCCTCGGCTAGAGTCTGGAAACTTGACTAGTAAACAGTTCCCTACATGGATATGAAATTTTCCCCAAATAATAAGAATGGCTCTTTGAAGTGATGAAAATACTCTGGAATTAGAGGTGATGGTTGTACAACTTGGTGAATACACTAAAAAACACTGAACTGTATACTCTAAATGGTGAATTTTATGGCATGTGAATTATATCTTAATTTTTAAAAGTAGTATTTAGGAAATTAACCCAGATATGTATCTAGAAAGAAACTATTCATTTTTTAAAATATATTTTATTAATTATGCCATTACAGTTGTTCTATTCCCTTCATTCCCCTCCACCCTGCATACCCCTCCCCCACCATTCCCCCCTTTAGTTTATGACGTGTCCCAAGTTCTTTAGATTCTATATTTCCCATACTACTCTTGCCCTCCCCCCTATCTATTTTCTTCCTACCATCTATGCTACGTATTTTCTGTACCTTCTTCCCCCTTCTCCTTCTCCCACTCCCCTGTTGCTAACCCTCCATGTGATCTTCATTTCTATGGTTCTGCTTCTGATCTAGCTGTCCTCTTAGGTTGCTTTTGTTTTAGATGTGGTTCTTAATAACTGTGGGTTTGCTGTCCTTTCATTGTTCATATTTTTTAACTCCTTTTTCTTAGGCAAGTCTCTTAAAAATTACATATAATAAGGGCTTGGTGATGATGAACTCCTTGAACTTGACCTTATCTGAGAAGCACTTTATTTGCCCTTCCATTCTAAATGAAAGCTTTGCTGGATAGACCAACCTTGGATGTAGGTCCTTGACTTTCATGACTTGGAATACTTCCCTCCAGCCTCTTCTTGCCTGTAAGGTGTGTTTTGAGAAATCAGCTGACAGTCTGATGGGAACTTCTTTGTAGATGACTGTCCACTTATCTCTTGCTGCTTCTAGAATTCTCTCCTTCATTTTAATCTTGGCTAATGTAATTATGATGTGCCTTGGTGTGTTCCTTCTTGGGTCCAACTTCTTTGGGACTCTCTGAGCCTCCTAGATTTCCTGGAAGTCTATTTCCTTTGCCAGAATGGGGAAGTTCTCCTTTATTATTTGTTCAAATAAGTTTTCCACTCATAGCTGTTCCTCTTCCCCTTCTGGTACCCTATAATTCAGACGTTGGAACATTTAAAGATGTCCTGGAGGTTCCTAAGTCTCTCCTCATTTTTTTGAATTCTTGTTTTTTCATCCTTTTCTGTTTGGTCATTTTTTTCCTCCTTCTGGTCCACTCCTTTGATTTGAGTCCCGGTTTCCTTTCCATTACTATTAGTTTCCTGTGCATTTCCCTTCATTTCAATTAGTTTAGCCTTCATATGTTCCTCTAATTTGTGACTAAAATCAACCAGTTCTGTGAGCATCCTGATCACCAGTGTTTTGAACTGTGCATCTGATAGGTTGGCAATTTCTTGGTTGCTTAGATTTATCGACTCTGGGGCTCTGAGTTGTTCTTGAGCCATGTTTTGATCTGTTCCTGCCTGTTACATATGAGGAGCGGAGCCTCAGGTGTTCACCAGGGCCGGGCCACCCAGCTCACTGGTTTGTGATGCTGTATGTGGGGGCAGGGTCAGAGAGGGACAATGGCGGTCCCCTCTGCTGCTTCCTGCCGATGGGGCCTGTGCAGTCCGTCTCACTGCTCGCTCCTTCACTGGTTTATCTGTGGGCAAATGTGTGACCACGATCAGCCCTCAGTGGGTCCACTGCCTTGCACCCTCAGTGGGTCCAACGCCTTGTGCTCTCAGTGGATCCACCCATGGCTGCTGGCGCACCTGAGCGCCCAGGTTGGTCCGGTGGATCTTTCCTGCCCAACCCCGCTCTGCTGCTGGCTCTGCCCCTCTTACCGTTTTGGCTGAAGGGTTCGTTGTTGTCAGACTTCCGTGTATTTCAATTTTCTGTGGTTTGGCTGTGTTTTTGTTGCTAAAACTTTATTGTTTTTAAACTTGGTTGTGTGAGAAGGCGCAGTGCTTTCACCTATGCTTCCATCTTGGCGGAAGTCTCTCTCAGAAATAAACTGAACTATTAACTGTGATTATTTCTGGATGGTGTAATTACAATGTAAGTGATCTTTCTTTTTTATTACTTTTTAAAGATTTTAACTTATTTTTTAGAGAGAGGGTGAGGGAGAAAGCGAGGGAGAGAAACATTGATGTGAGAGGGAAACATCAATAAGTTGCCTCTCATATGTGCCCCCAACTGGGACTGAACCCACAACCCAGGCATGGGCTATGAGCAGGCATTGAACCAGTAACATTTTGCTTTCTGGGAGGATGCCCAACCAGCTGAGCCACATAGTTCAGGGTTTTATTTTCTTTCCCCCTCCTTCCTTCCCTCCCTCCCTTCCTTCTTTTTAAAAGATTTTATTATGTATTTTAGAGAGGGGAAGGGAAGGAGAAAGAGAGGGAGAGAAACATCAATGTGTGGTTGCCCTTCAAGTGTCCCCTACCAAGGATCTGGCCCACAATCCAGGTATGTGCCTTAGACTGGGAATCAAACTGGTGCCCATTTGATTTGCAGTCTGGCACTCAATCCACTAAGTCACACTAGCTAGGGCATTTTTTCATATGCTTTGGTTCTAGCAAAATTTCCTACAACAAACCTGAATTACTTTGATAATAAAAATTATTTAAAAATTATATAATGTGAAATCTTAAGATAGCAATGTTGGTCGTATTAATAATAGCTAGCAAAGTCACTGCGTTTTTGAAGAGCCCCCATAAATACTCTGTGGCATTAGGAAAGGGGGTACATGTATGTGCAAGTGTCACAATGGACACTGTGAGCCTAGGTTAAACAGGAGAGTTCATGCAAGGAAACTATCCACAATTGCCAAAATATATACATAAAAAGAACTATTAGAGTTCTAATCAAAGATTATATAGAACTATGGTTTTAAGGCTTAAAACTCTAATGTCTTTGTTGGGATTTTCATATGCACCATGAAATTTATTCATTTGATGAAGTTTTTGAGGGACAATTGTGTCCTCTCCAAAGGATAAAAATAAACTATTCCCTACTGACAGTCTTATAGTCAGAAAATAAGAACATTTTTGACATACGATTTTTAGTGTTTTAGAGTGACTCAGAAATAAAACAAAAATATTAGCCATAAGGGTTAGAGATTAACTACCTTGATTTGTTGCTATAACAACAAAATTATCCAGAAGTAAATATGGATGTTAAGTGTCAGCATTTTCTCTTTACAGCTCTCTGTAATTATTTCCCTCCAACATTCAAATCTCCTTAATTTTATTTATTAACTATTTTATAATTCAGAATATTTTCAGAAAACACAATTTCAATCAAGAAATATATCATAATGTCTAGTTGACTAGTTTTTTATATATCCCACTGTCCAGATAACTAAAAAATTTGTAATGCAGCTTTCAGAATTTAAATTTTTATCATAAATGCTGACCTAAATTTTGATGCCACATTTTATGAATAACTTTTCAGTAAAACCAAAGTATTCCGCCTTATAATAAATCACAGTATCCCTCTAGTGTGAAATATTCAATATCTTATTTATTTATTTATTTATTTATTTAGAAGGGAAGGGAAGGAGAAAGAGTAGGAGACAAACATCAGTGCGTGGCTGCCTCCCATGCGTTCCCCACTGGGGACCCGGCCCACAACCCAGGCATGCGCCTGGCTGGGAATCGAACCCGTCACCCCCTGCTTCATAGGCCCCCGCTCAATCCACTGAGTCACACCAGCCAAGGCTGAAATAGTCAATATCTTATGTTTCCTTTTTCTTTTTTCACTCATTTATTCAATAAATATTTAATAAGCACAACTGTATCTATGTATACCCCGTTGTACTTAGCAATATATATACAAGGCATATAAGAATTCAGTCAACTACCCTGGCTGGTGTAGCTCAGTGGATTGAGCGTGGGCCTGCGAACCAGAGGATTGCAGTTCAATTCCCAGTTGGGACACATGCCTGGGTTGCAGGCCAGTAGGGGACACACGAGAGGCAACCATACGTTGATATTTCTCTCCCTCGCTCCTTCCCTTCCCCTCTAAAGATAAATAAATAAAATCTTGGGAAAAAAGAATTCAGCCAACTTACAGCTAGACTAATAAGGAAAATAAGACATTATCATTATTACCTCCAATGGCGTACACCATCCCTCCCAGAACTGCTACTCCCAGCCCACATCGAGCCTGATGAAGCGAAGACACAGTGGTCCAGTACTGGCTAAAGGTGTCAAAACGTTCGACACAGCTGAGGGCTCTGCTGTCACTCCAACGACCCCCCTGCAATCGAGTATATCCACCTGAACAAAGGAAGGATAGAAGAAACATGGTAGATCCCTTATTGCTAAATATGGAAATGGTAGTAAGGAGAAAAATCTAGCCCTCTCTACATCTAGACATTCAGTATTACCTATTTTACGACAAGGAATAAAGGCTTTAGAGCCTGCCATATATACACATACTATTCCGAAATGTGCCGAGTTCTGAGAGATTATGGCTTAAATGCAATGAGTTAACCACAGTATTCTACCACCTGGTCTTGGTTATAATAGAATATTAGCTAAAACATAAATCTAGGAGCTGGTTACCTGTCTACTTAAAAAAGTTTCATTATGGCTTCTATTAGTGTCTATTTCAATTAAAAATAGTGAGTTGAAACTCTGGTTTGACTGCACATCCTATCATTAAAAGAAGTTTATCATGTACTCAAAAATTACATATTTATACATCATAGCATACATAAAACTATACATTTATTTACATATACATAAATTATATAGAAGGTATTTATATATAAATTATATTATATATAAAAATCTGGTCAATCTGTATATATCTCTCCTATATATATCAAATACTGATGAGGTTTAATGCTTTTTAACACAAAAAGAGGTTTTACTACAGTTATGTGATATGCCTCTGGATTATCCTGCACACCCACACTTTGGAGACCACTAGTTCCTATCATTCCTAATAACCATAAATGACACTGTGAATAGTTAATATTTTTGAGGTTTATCTTCCTTATATTTCACTAGAATTCAAATTTTCAAGTTTAAAGTAATATTTCTTTAGTCAGCTATCGACAATAACTGAATAATCTAAGAACCCAAAGATATAGATCACAGAATAATAAATGTCAGATGAGTAGCTATTTTATTCTTAGATGTGTTCACTGTATTATATAACCACAATTTATAAATCTGTAGCCTATATGGGAAATTAAATGTCTATTTGACACACGTGAATATTCTGACATGTACGATAACAACAAAATATTAAAAGGTTTTGATCCTAAAATCCCTACAATAGAGATAATTTCTATTACTTTTTAAAAGGTTCTTACCTACTGCATACAGGTACTTTCTTGCTTTCTTCCGAGGTCGAACCTTAGATGTCTGCAGAAAACTACAAAACTTGTTCTCTTTGGGAGATCTGCACACCTCACAATATTCTTTCAAAAGTGTTTGCAATGCAACACGAAGATTAAAATCAGATACGCCTAAAGCAATGTTGTAAAAGATAATGTTTAGCCAACTTGTAAGTAATACTGAAAAGACATGCCTACCTAAGGTAAAACACATTTAACAACAACAAAAAAAATCTCATCATCATGTCCTGGCCAGGTAGCTCAGCTGGGTTAGAGGATCCTCCAAATATGCCAAGGTTGTGGGTTCAATCCCTGTCAGAACACACACAAGAACCAACCATGATGGAAACATGCCTGGGCTGTGGGGCCATCCCTGGTTGGGGATCATGCAAGAGGCAACTGATTGATGTTTCTCTCAGGCATCAATGTTTCTCTCACTCTATTTCTCCCTCCCTTACTGTAACTCTAAAATAAATAAAATCGTTTTTTAAAAAAAACAACTAATGAATGCATAAATAAATGGAACAACAAATTGATTTCTTTCTCTCCCCCTCTTCCCCTTCCTCTCTCTTTGTAAATTTAATCGATTAAAAAATCATCATCAAACAATGGTGTTTGTTTTCTACAATACCAGATATTTTTCTTATTGCTACTAAAAAATATTTTCTTTAAATCAAAGGTTTTTAAAAAATATGTTTCAAGCCTTGGCTGGTGTAGCTCAGTGGATTGAGCGCAGGTGAGCCTGCGAACCAGACAATCGCGGTTCGATTCCCAGTCACGGCACATACCGGGGTTGCAGGCTGGTTCCCTGCAGGCCTGTTCCCAGCAGGGGACGCACAAAAGGCAACCAGACATTGATGTTTCTCTCTCTTCCTCCTTCCCTTCCCCTCTAAAAATAAATAAATAAAATCTTTAAAAAATATATGTTTCATAATAGGCAATTTGTAAATACATGTATGAGAATTTCTAAATAAAGATGGCAAGGTGAAACAGGATCACAATTATCTAACAAAATGAAAATATAAAATATAAAGTAGCCCAAAATTCTATACATATAACCTAATAACAAAAGGATATAAAATTATGTCATAAGCTTTCAAAAATGACAGTTAAAGCAAGAAACAAAAGATCTGTTGGAATGAGGTCCATTTCCTAAAAAGACATTGAGCATGATTTTATAGGTTGTTCCTGCTCAAGGGAGCTTGCTTAGCTGAGCAGGTGAACTGGGGATGAAAGTCAACTTGTGTCCCACTTGACAAGCTCTAAGATCCCCTAAAAGGGCACTGCATTCAAATTTGCACAAAGGCCCCATATGTGCTAGCAAGGGACTATCTCTAAGCCTTCTCCTTACATTCCAGAAGCAATATTGAGGAAAGAAGGTCAACTAACAAAATCTTGAGAATTCTCACTAATAACTAATAATTTGGAGAGAGGTAGACTGAGCAGGTAAGAAGCTGCTCATGTACATGTACAAACTGAGAAGTCAAAGACCAAAAACCATAAAAAGTCCCTTAGAGCACCATCAGTAAAGGTAGAGAGGAGCACCAGAGTTTGCCATCTAAGGGAGCACAGTGCTAGCTAAAATCTATGTGAGATGCATGTTTGGCTGGATTAAGTAGGCCCTGACACAGACCAACATCAGGATCTCCTAAAAGAGAGCTCGGGGCTCAGGTCTCCAAGGAAGGACCTCAGCCTTAGCAAATCTCTATTCTTTTACTACCCTCATCCCTCAGGCTAGAAAGAAGTGGTGAGAACACAACACACAGCTCTCAAATTTTAGATGGGAGAACAAAGTAGTTAAACTAAGTTAGAAAGAAAAAACTGACAAAAAATAAACTAAGGTAGAAAGGGTGTCAAGGAGAATTAGCTCTTATATTACTAAGAAAACAGGTTTGATAGAGCTGCTCATGTTAAGCATGAGCAATATATTGAAAAAACAGCAATACAGCTATTAAAATATATCCCAAGAAAGATGACAAAGAGACTGAAGAATTTAGCCTGGAAGAAAACAGCCACCAACAGATACAAATTCCCCATAAATACTTCACAATATAGAATTATCACACATAGAATTATTAAGAATATAGATCCTACAAAAAAAGAGCTCAAAGACAGAATGAGTTACACTGAAAATGAATCAAAGGGAGAACTGAAATAATAGTATTGCAAATTCTATCAATTAGAAACAAGAAACAATACACTCAACAAATCAAATCAGCAATTTGAAATAAAGACTTGAGAAAACAACCGTGAACACAGCAAAAGACAACATATTTTAATATTAGATGATAAATATAAAAGACAAAGAAGTTTCAACAAAAGGATGAAAACTACCAACTGAAACATTAAAAGTATTCAGAGATTTCATTCAGGAAAATTCCTCCCAAATGAATTGAAACTGAACCATTTAAAAGGAGAGGGTATATGACACAGTTTAATAAAAAACAACAAACTTTTACACAAATTAAGAATAATGAAGAAATAAAATGCCATTATCATTTCCTACTAATTTTAGGATATTTCAGAGAATATATTTAGCTTTATATTTGCTTCCTGAAATAACTGGTTACTATTAATTAATAAAAAAGCAAGAAGAGCAATGAGAGCTAATGTTTTGAAACTATGAAACTGTTCTTAGTTCAAAAGCATGCCTGAGTGCTCATCTTTTACGGGTTTATACAAATAAATCTTTTTTTGGGAAAAAAAAGAACAAGGCCTTATAAAGTTTGAGGGGGAGCAGAGAGGAGTTATCACTTATAACCTAGAATATTATGCTCACCAATATTGCTGTTAAATTAAAAATACGTTAGGCAGAAATTCTCAAACATGGAAAGAATTCAGGAAATTTATAACCAGGAGCCCTTCTTGAAAAAAGTACTTTGTGATAAAATCCGCCAACCAAATGATGAATCAAAAAAGAAAATTCAGGAATAAAAAGACTTGTAGATTGCAAAACTTGTAGAGGACATCAAATCCATTTAAATATAGAACAAAGCACAGAACTTACAGAATCATGACTGCAAAAAATCTATACAAAGGTATAAATATTGAAGAGAGGGTAGGAAGAAAAATAAGAATGCTAATTATCTCATTTTTTCTTAGTATAGAGTCTATACTGTTTAAAACTGAAATGCAAAATGAGACTATGATTTCAACTTTCAGTGACTTTCATCTTTTGTTCTTAACTCTATTAGAGCTTTTTAGAATGAGTATTTCTTAGGATAGACATTTATCTGAAATTACCGTATTTTGCTGTGTCTAATGCACATTTTTTTTGCCCATATTTTTTAGGGAAAAATAAGAATGTGCATTATACATGGGTATAATGATTATACATCATGGGTATAATAATCCCATATCTAATGTGCACAAAAATGTGAGTGTGGATTATACATGGCAAATACATAGTAATTATTACTTTAGCTTCTTTGTTAACTTTTAGTGAGATTTAAGTACATTTTTATATTACAAAGTCTATAGAAATGATTCATATTCTTGTAATTTTTCTTTTAACTATTCATTCGACCACATATCCAACCAACATTCAACCTCCTATACAGTGATATCTGAATGTTAATTATAACTGGTTATTCTGGGTGACAGATTTTGGGTGATTTATTGTTTTTTAATACTTTATTACCTAAACTTCTTATAAAACCATGTACCATTTATATTTTTATTTATTTTTATTTTTAGAGAGAGGGGAAGAGAAGGAGAAAGAGAGGGAGAGAACATTGATGTGAGAGAGACATTGATTGGTTGCCTCCCATATACTCCCAACCAGGGATCTGGCCTGGAACCCAGACATGTCTTTGCCAGGAATAGAACCAGCAACATTTTGGTTTGTGGGATGATGCCCAACCCACTGAGCTACACCAGTCAGGGCAAACTATATACCATTTTCAAAATCTACAAATTTCTAGACTTCCACCAAGATGGAGGCGTAGGTGGAAACACTGTGCCTTCTCGCACAACCAAGTTTAAAAACAACAAAGTTTTAGCAACAAAAACACGGTCAAACCACAAAAAATTAAACTATACGGAAGTTCGGCCAGACCAGTAAGAGGGGCGGAGCCAGCGACTGGTGGAGTGGGGTCGTGCAGGAAAACTCAGTCAGACCAACCAAGGCGCGTGGGCAGAGGTTGGCAGATCCCAGCATGGGGTTGCTACAGGCAGACCCAGTGAGGGTACGTGGTGGCTGGCTGACCCCGGTCACATATTCGCACGCAGATAAACCAGTGAAAGAGCGAGCAGTGAGACAGACTGTGCAGGCCCCAGCAGCAGAAAGCAGCAGAGGGGACCACTATTGCCTCTCTTTGACCCCACCCCCCCACATATAGCATCACAACCCAGTGGGCTGGGTGGCCCTGCCCTGGTGAACACCTGAGGCTCCGTTCCACATATGTAACAGGCGAGAACAGACCAAACATGGCTCAAGAAGAACTCAAAGCCCCAGAGCCAATAAATCTAAGCAACCGAAAAATTGCCAATTTATCAGATACACAGTTCAGAACACTGGTGATCAGGATGCTCACAGAACTGGTTGATTTTAGGCACAAATTAGAGAAACAAATGAAGGCTAAACTAATTGAAATGAAGGGAAATGCACAGGAAAGCAATAGTGATGGAAAGGAAACTGGGACTCAATTCAAGGGAGTGGACCAGAAGGAAGAAAAAAATGACCAAACAGAAAATATGAAGAAACAAGAATTCAAAAAAATGAGGAGAGACTTAGGAACCTCCAGGACATCTTTAAATGTTCCAACATCCGAATTATAGGGGTACCAGAAGGGGAAGAGGAATAGCCACAAGTGGAAAACTTATTTGAACAAATAATAAAGGAGAACTTCCCCAATCTGGCAAAGGACACAGACTTCCAGGCAATCCAGGAAGCTCAGAGAGTCCCAAAGAAGGTGGACTCAAGAAGGAACACACCAAGGCACATCATCATTACATTAGCCAAGATTAAAATGAAGGAGAGAATTCTAGAAGCAGCGAGAGATAAGGGGACAGTCACCTACAAAGGAGTTCCCATCAGACTGTCAGCTGATTTCTCAAAAGAGACCTTACAGGCAAGAAGGGGTTGGAAAGAGGTATTCCAAGTCATGAAAGCCAAAGACCTACAACCAAGATTGCTCTATCCAGCAAAACTTTCATTTAGAATGGAAGGACAGATAAAGTGCTTCTCAGATAAGATCAAATCCAAGGAGTTCATCATCCCCAAGCCCTTATTATATGAAATGTTAAAGGGACTTATCTAAGAAAAAGAAGATAAAAAATATGAATAGTGAAAGGATAGCAAATTCACAGTTATTAAGAACCACACCTAAAACAAAAGCAACCTAAGAGGACAGCTAGATAAGGAATGGAACCATAGAAATGGAGATCACATAGAGGATTAGCAACAGGGGAGTGAGAGGAGGAGGAGAAGGGGGGAGAAGGTACAGAAAGTAAGTAGCATAGATGGTAGGAAGAAAATAGATAGGGGAGAGGGCAAGAATAGTAGGGGAAATATAGAATCTAAAGAACTTGGGACACGTGGTCATAAACTAAAGGGGGGAATGGTGGAGGAGGGAGTGTGCAGGGTGGAGGGGAATGAAGGGGAAAATAGAACAACTGTAATGGCATAATCAATAAAATATATATTTTTTAAAAATCTACAAATGTCACATAACATACTTTAACCATTTCAAGGAAGGCTTCTGCCCTCTCTGAATTTTGTGGTAGAGTCTCAATACATTTTTACATAAATTGTCTTTTCTCCAACATGATCAAAAAGAAAAAGTTTCAAACTTGAAAAATACTAAGGCTGCCATTTATTTATTCATGTACCCTCACCTGAAGATGTGTTGTTTTTGGTTTTGTTCTTCTTTTAGAATAGAGAGGAAGGGAAGGAGGAAGGGAGGGAGAAACATCAATGTGAGAGAGAAACATTGATTAGCTGCCTCCCATCCATGTCCTGACCAGGGACTGAACCCACAACCTAGGTATGTGCACTGACTGGGGATAGAACCTGCAAACTTTTGGTGTACAGGACCATCCTCCAATCAACTGAGCAAACCAGTCAGGGCTTAAAGTTGCCTTTAAAAAAAAAAATCCTCCATTTACTTCTCCCTTGACTCTTTGCAGTTTTCCTCCAGTGAAATACCTTTAGGTGGTAACTACTGGGCATGCTTATAACAAACAGGACAAGACTGGACTATTAAAATACTAAGTTGTAGGAAAATATACCCCAATTCTAGGGAATATTCCTTTGCTCCTAGCAGAGAAACTTTTCTTTAGCATGCTGTATCTATGGCACTTGAAAAAAACTAACTTTATCATGAAAGCTTTTGCCTTACTCCTAGATTCTCCCATGACTCATGCAAAAATGTATATCAATAATTTCCCTCTTCTTGTTTTAGTATGAGTTTATGGATTCTTTACCTGTGATTATATCTACTCCAAAAATGTATTTGTAATCCAAATCAACACTCATAGTGCTTTCCTGGTCATTCATGGATGTGCCACAGAGTAGCAAAAAATGTGAATCATCTGACCTGAATGTTCCTAAATGAGACTGAACAAGGTGATACTCTATCTTTTGTTTCAGTTCTCATACTGTAAACAAGTGTCTTTTTCAGATTTAGTGTCATGTTTTTCACATTTTTGGGTTCTTTGTTGGTGATTTTGCTGTTTAAAATGCTTAAGTGCTGCCTAAGCATTCCTAAGTGCAAGAAGGCTGTGATGGCCTTACATAGAAAATGCATGTGTTAGGCTGCATGCAGGTAGGAGTTATAGTGCTTTTGACTATGAGTTCAATGTTAATGTACCAGCAATACATAATAATAAATAGGTGTTTTAACAGAAATATACATAAAACAAGGTTATGTATTGATCAGTTGACAAAAATGTCATGACCAGAGAGTTTAAGAATTTACTCCATATCTCCCCTAGGACCAATGGCTTAGTATTTGCCAATTCAATGTTTATGGCAACTTTATAGAACATGACTGCCATGAATAATAAGAATTTATTATATAGTTGAATTAAAACAGTATCACTCAGAAAACCTACAAAATTCTATTAACACTGTTAAGTTACAGTGGAGAAAAAATAAAAATCCACATTAAACATACTTCACAGAATTACACTTTTAATTCTAAGTATATTTAATTCATAAGATCATTTATAATTCAGTCACATCCTAAATTTTCAAGTGCAGGACAGGAATAAAAACTTCAAATCTTGAGGCCAGGTCTAAAATAGTTGTTAGACCTGGCTGGTGTAGCTCAGCGGACTGAGCACAGGCCTGCAAACCAGAGGATCACAGTTCAATTCCCAGTCAGGGCACATGCCTGGGTTGTAGGCCAGTTCCCAGCAGGGGACACACGAGAGACAACCATACATTGATATTTCTCTCCCTTTCTCCTTCCCTTCCCCTCTAAAGATAAATAAATAAAACCTTTAAAATAGTTCTTAAAAAATAAAATTTAAATACATATTTTTTCTAATATAAAGATAAAAACTATTTTGTACTATGGCGAAAAGCATTTTCAAAGCCTAGAACTTAAAGATGATTCAAAGGCTACTTAGGAGCTATGATATCCTATCAATATAAAATTTATTTTATAATGAGGACTTGGAGGATTTGTTATGTTTAGGTTTTGGTTTTAGCATATACATTTCCCTCAAATGTTAGAATTTGCTGACTTTTTATTTTCTATTTTTTTAATAATTGGCTTTAATTTATTTATATTAATTCACTTTTTATTTGAGAAGGGAAGGGAGGAAGAGAGGGAGAGAAACATCAGTGGGGGAGAGAAACATCGATTGCTTGCCTTTTGTACCAGGAACCATACCACGGGGAAAGAAACATTGATTGCTTGCCTTTTGTACCATACCAAACCAGCAACCTAGGTATGTGCCCTGACACCCTACCCACTGAGCCACATGGGCCAGGGCTTTGCTGACTTTTTAAAAGTGTCAAGATGCCTCACTGGTATTGCTCAGTGGGTTGGAGCATCGTCCCATGCACTGAGAGATTGTAGGTTCGACTCCCAGTCAGGGCAAGTACCTAGGCTGCAGGTTTAGTAACCTATCAATGTTTCTCTCACATAGCTGTTTCTCTCTCTCTCTCACTTCTTCTCTTTCTGGAATAATTTTTTTTAAAAAGTGACTAGGAAATCTTACACTGAAAAAATTGATATGATCAAAACCAGCAATATCTCAGCTCTGTCAGTAATTTTATCTATAACACTCATTTCCATTAGTACTTAATCTCAAGAAAGGTACATAAGAATTTTATTAAAATAAAAGGTAGAGATATGGAAATACTACTGTCTACCCACAAAACCAAAAGTATGTATCTTGGTATACAGTAATCATTCAATAAATATCTGCTATTGAACTGAAAAATAAAAACACAATCACATTTCACACAGAAAAAGCAACCAATTAATTGGCTAATATGATATGCAACGACAAAAAAATTACCTTCTATATACTTTAAAAGCCTCTGAGGGGGTAATAAGGGGAATCGAATTGGGTCTAGTACTTCCACCACATATTTTTTTCTCTTTCCCAGATCTTTGAGAATCCATTGCATTGCAGCTAAGAAGACTTGGTATTCATCCTCAATGCTAAGCTCTTCACTTCTCAAAACTTTGATCAGCTGATCTTTCGTAAGTGCCAGGAACTCTTCCCCACTCTGAACCTCCAAGAAATGGACATGAATGTAGTTTTCTGTGAATTCCAAAAGATCATGGCAGGCAATTTGCTCAGAGAACTGAAAGATCCCAATGCAGTTCAGTGGATCAATTTGTCCTTTCAGAAATTCACAGCAAAGATTAACAACTTCAGTCAACTGTAGCATGTCTGCTGCCACGATCAACTCCTGGACATTATTCACACTTATGTTCACTACACCTAGGGAAACAGTAAGACAAAATAACCAGTACAGTAAAATAAAAACAAACATTAGGCTTATATTAAAAAAAACATTATATTTGATTCCACTAACTGCTAAGTAAAAAGCAACAAAGAATTTATAGAAAGGGCACAAAACTTAAATAATAATGTTAACCTAACATTTACAGAATGCTTACAATGAACCAGACACAGCATTAATTGCTTTATACATTAATTTAACCCTGACTACAACCCCATATAGTAAGGTTTTTTCTTCTTATTTTTGTATTAAGAAAACAAGTTAAGTAACTTGTCCCCAAGTCACATGGTTAAGTGAGTTGAGGGTAGGGACTGACACCAAAACCTGTGCTTTTAACATTGGGCTATATGAGTCTACCAAACATTTACTTAGGCAGTGGGGAAGGTAAGAGAGGGTCTCTATCTTCGATTATGATAAGTGCCATACAAATGTTAATTTTAATATTAGTTATAACCAAGAGTCTATAACATATGATAAGTTATTAATACTTCACATTTAAGTAACTATATATACCACTTTCTTTCCAGATGGCTTTGCTTTCATATATTTACATAATGACTTTGGAACAACATCAGTCAATTATATTTAGAAGGAAAAAAGAAACCACTGCAATTCTCCTTCCTTATAGGGATAAACTCTCTATTCAATTTTGTACTTTCCCTTTATCCCTTTAATTCCCACTCATTTCACTAAATTATTAGCCTAAAATTTGTATTCTTAATTAGATTTATAAAGTCTGTTGGGGTGAGGCTTGCTCCTTCTGTATTTCCAATGCCTAGTCCATACTAGGTGCTCAAAAAAACTTGTTTTGAATAAATGAGTGGCCAAAGCAATTATGGTAAGAGGAAGGATATGGCTTGTTGAATGCAAACTGGGGGTTTTCCAGAAGTATAAGAAGTCGAATCCACCATGGGAGTAAATGGTAGTGACTTCAGGGAAAACTGAGATAAGACTTACTTGAATAAAATGAGAACTCACCACAAACTTGGAGAAGATAAGATCGTGGATTGAACTAAGGGGGGTGAATGACTGCTACTGGATGAAGCTGTTACTTCAGAGTAATAAAAAGAATGCCCTCCAACTTAATAAGGTTTTATAGATTACAAAATGTACTTTTACAAGTATTAAAATTTATCTCATTTAACCTTCACAGGAATTATAAAGTGCTACTATCCCTACTTTACAATAAGGAAAATGAGGCTCTCACAAACGCACTTCTATTTTGTAAATACATTATCTGCATTACCTAGAAAACTCTCCGAAGGCAGAAGCCATGACTGTCTTATTTACTTCATATCCCTAGTACCTAGCTCAAAAAGTATTCATAAATATCTGTTGAAAGAATCAATGAATAATTGACTAAAGCTAAATGAATTGCCTTATATCACACAGCTAATTAGTGGCAGAGCTAGATCACAAACCAAGGTCATTTGATTCTAAATGAAGTGTATAAAAATCTAAGGTAAGAAATATCTGTTAAGACCTATTAGAATTGTGAATGGTTAATAAAGATGCATAGAGCCCTGGCTGGTGTGGCTCAATGGATTGAGCACTGGCCTCTGAACCAAAGGGTCGATGCACATGCCTAGGCTGCCTTGCCAGATCCCCAGAATAGGGGGCATGTGAGAGGTAACCACACAATGATGTTTCTTTTCCTTTCTCCCTCCCTCCCCCTCAAAAAAAAAAAAAAAAAAAAAAGCAAAGACAAGTCCAAAGGGGAGAATCAACAAAACAACAGATTTTGCTGCCCCCACATCTCTCAAAAAGGAAATGTTATTACAGTGAAATCAAAGAACATGTTTCTTTTTAAAAACTAATTGTATCAAAGACTACAAAGTTTCCTGACCAATAAATACCCAAAATTCATTTTCTTTTTGTCTCTACTAATAGAACCTGGAGTTTGGGTGGCAATTGTGCACAGCTGAAAATTACATTTCTTAGCCTCTACTTGCATTTTTTGACTGAGTTTAGCCAACAAGATATAGGTGGCAATTATTGGGTATGTTTACCAGAAAAGCTTAAAAAGATAATAGATTCAGATGGCAGACTCTTTTGCTTTTTCCTCTTCCTTCTTCCACTAGTTGGAGCTCAGAGGGCATGACATTAGAGGCTATAAGCTAGAGATGGTGGAGCAAATTGTTAAAAGAATAATGGGACACCAATGACATCATAAAGCCACCATATCAGCCTTGGAATTACTACAGATTAATTTTTGTGAAAAAGTAAGCAAATTCCTATCTTATTAAGACACTTTTATCTTTTACTAGCAACCAAAAACTGTTCTTAACTGTTATACCAATTTTAGCCTTAAATGTCAACATTGTATAATGTTATTTCCCTGTAGATATGCTCAGTAGCTTTTACTTCTCTGGGTTTTACCATTTCTTACTTTTTTGATGGAAGTGCTAATCACCAGCAAGCAATATGACAATGATGCCATGAACATTCTTTCACTATACATCTCTTCTTGTTACTATCAAACAACAGAGGCAGAATAGACAGCTTGTGGTATTGTTTTTATGTAATTCAACACTAATTCCTTTGGGTTAATGTGTTCATTTCTACTTTGCAAATATGAGAAGCAAGGTATTTATGAAGCAGTTTTCAGCTCACACAAGTCACTTAGAAAAGTGAGATCAAGAATCTCTCATGAGCCCTGGCTGGTGCGGCTCAGTGGATTGAGTGCCAGCCTGTGAACCCAAAAGTCACCAGCTCAATTCCCTGACAGGGAATGTGCCTCAGTTGAGGACAGGTCTCCAGCTGGGGCGTGCGAGAGGCAACAGATTGAAGTATCTCTCACAAACATTGATGTTTCCCTCTCTTTCTCCCTCCCTTCCCCTCTCTAAAACTAAATAAATAAAATCAACAACGACAAAAAAACAACAAAAAAGAAACACTTTTTCAGGCCACATAATTATCTCCTTAAAAGAAGGCATGGCATGTTCTCAAAATTAGACCAAACAGTCTTTGTTTTCAAACTCTTTTTCCTGATTGTAATACATATTCACTACAGAAAAAACTTTAAGGCAAAAAATACAAAGATTAATATGAAAATCATACATTTTCTAATATATACTATTAATACTTTATTATATATTTTTTGACTGTCCTAAATTATTTATTAGGTAAGAATTTTACAAACCTGACACATATTAGTGGTAAGCATGGAGCTGGAGAGTACTGTGCCTTCTCCAAGCTGCCGGGCAAGAACCATCAATAGTGTGGTGGAACTTGTGGCCTTTTCCAAGGCCATGGCTCTTGTGGCCCACAGATATCAACCCTCTCGTCCCCCTGTGCTTGTGGACAGGTTTGGTGATCCACTGGGTGTCAAGATTCCTTCTGATGGCCTTATGGAACGGATCAATGAGGATAACCTCAAAGAATCTGTACATGGAATCTTCACCAACCCAGTAAGAATTCAAGACTTTCAGAGCCCCACAGTGGCACCCAGCTTGTTCCTCAGCAACAGAATGAAAAGGCTTTGGGCAAACTTCAGCTGGTCAACACCATGATGGACAGGCTTGCCATAGGTCATACCCTTAGGATCAGGGCATTTGTGGACACCATGGCACACACGAATCTGATATATGACATAACCTTGCTTGGCCTTGTATCCCAGGTTACGTGCTTTATCGGGCCTGGTGGGGTGGGGGGACCCTGTGGAGTGCAGAGAGCTGGCAGTACTGCCAGCGGTGCACCCTGAGAAAGAAACACTGGAAGCTGAAATAATTTTAGAACTGTATACATGTAACTATTCCTTAACTGTTAAGGAGTTGAAATTATATTCAGCCCTTTGAAGGCAACCGGGAGGCTAATGTGCCCCCTGCCCACCCCGTGAAAATGAGTCTGACACCCCTGGCGTACCTTATGGCTGTGGCCAGGTAGAAAGGAAGAAACTTTCTCCCTATTCTATTTCTTTCAAATCTTTGTTCTATGTATATTTATCTATTTTGTATATCATATGAGGCATATTTTATACATAGTTCTGTGTGGATTTTCTATATCATTAAAACTCTTCAAAAACATTTTTAAAAGTTTTGATTCAAATAATACAGGTTTCCACCTGGGGTGTGCAAGAGGCAACAAACTGAAGTACCTGGTTGAAGTACTGGTTGATTATAAACACTTGAGAGAAAAAAACAGGAAAAAAGGAGAAATAAGAATTTTTCATATTCCATTACCTAGGAGGTAAACATCAACCCTGGTCTTTTTTTCTGTGTACAAATACACACAAATGGCCCTGACTGGTGTGGCTTAGTGGGTTGGGTGTCATCCTGCATACTGAGGGGTCGCCAGTTCAATTCCCCATCAGGGCACATGCTTGGAAACATACAGGAGGCAACCAATTGATGTGAGAGGGAGAAAAACATCAAAATCATTTATTTTAAAAGAGAGAAGAAAGAAGGGAGAAAGAAACATCACCAGTTGCCTCCCATACCCCTAACTGGGGGCCTGGCCCCACAACCTAGGCATGTGCTTTAATGGGGAATCAAACCATCAATCTTTTTGGTTTGTGGGACAATGCCCAACCAACTGAGCCATACCAGTCATGCCCACACACAAATGATTTTTTTTAAGACAAAACTGAGGTGGTATTTATATCCATATTTTCATTTAACATATTGCAAACATTCTTCCATGATAGTACATATTTAAATCATTTGTGAAATGATTTAAAAATCATCTAAAAATATTCCATTATATATACATGTATCATGATTTTTTTAAACTATTTAACCTACTGAGGGACGATTAGCTTGTATTCAATTACATACTATTATAAATAATGTTATTATAAACATCCTGGTACATAAATGTTTGCCTGTATCACTAATTAGTTCCTTAGGATTCCTAGAAAAGGAATACAGAGTGTCAAAAGATACGAACTTTTCAAAGACTCATAATAACATATTGTCAAATTATGTTTCCATAGCAGTACATGAGTGATTGCATCATTCTCCACTTAAAGCTAACGGTTCACTTAACATACCTGTGTAAATGAAATCTAGAAGTATTTGAAATATTCCAGCTTCAATTCCTAGAATCTGTACAACATCTTTTGAGGACTCTTTCATTCCTCCAGTGAACAAGGCTGCAAAGTAAGGACTACTGGCAGCCAGAACCAGCCGATGAACTTTAAAAGTTTCCTTCCCAACTTGTAGCTGCACATCACAGAAATGCTGTCCATTTCTCATTTTATTGATCTGGGCCAAGATGAGTTGGGCATGTTTATCTGAGGAAAAAGAACTATCACCAGCCTTGGGACAGCCCTCATTAGCCATCATGATGATTAATTAATTTAAAGGACTGCAGCCCATAATCTGGTCCTACCCTGAAAAACAAACAGAAAGAGACCAAACATATTTTTGTATTTAACAAGTCTTCCACTCAGATACATATGAAACATTCCCTATCCTCAAGGGTCTTATTAAATCTACTTAGGGACATAAAACACACATGAAACAACATGAAACAAACAAATAAGGACTCAACTGTGATACCATTTCTAGGGTTTCAGAGAATGGCGTAAATAATGGAGTCTAAAATAATTAGAGGATACTTTACAAAAGACCTGAACTGGTTACTGAAAGATAAAAACTATGAGGAGAGGGCATTAGCCTTTTTGGGTACAATAAAGAAAATAAGGAAAGATACATATACAGAAAGAAGTATTTGTACACTGCAGTAGGAAAGCATACATTGCAGCCAGAATGAAACTTCAAGAAGCAACTGTAATCAGGGCAACTATTTGCTTAGAATCCTTCAATTTGTACACTTCCCTTAGCACGCAAACCCCTTCAAATCTCACCCCTATCTACCTCTCCAGTCCTATCTCCTATACTCCTCTTTTAACTTAATACTCCAACAAAGCCTAACAATTTGCAGTTCTTTAAAGTGACTCTTTCATGGCACCCTTCCCAACCATTTCCTTCTAGATCTTTGTTGTAATTCAAGACTGTTCAAACATAATTTCCTTTAAGAACTCATCCCTGTTCCTTTCTCCTCTGGGTTTGGTTCCCACCCTATGCTTGCCCGTTTTACAGCCTATATCACACTCTATCTGACTGTCAGACAGTCTTATCACCCTACTCCCTACTCTTTCTCTCTTCTGATAGTTCCTTGAAAGACAGCCCCTTAAATGCAGGGAGTATCTTTCATAGATATAGCACAAGAATCTAACATATATTAGGTTTTCAAATGTTTGTAAAATGAATGAATACAATGAAAAATAACAATAGCTTGTGTTGTTTCTGTTAAATTCTGATAGCCTTTTCCACACATTATGACAATTGGAATTCTCACAATAATTAATTGGCTGGAAGAAAGGATACTGTTACTCAAAATGAGAGAAGGAAACAAGCTCAGCTTCCCAAGGACACAGTGTTAGTGGAATGAGAATCAAAGATATAATGCAAGTTACTTTTTGACTAAAGAAACCATGTGATTCAGGAATATGAGATAAGGCGATGAAGGACGGGAAATATGACTAAGGTTTTGTAATGTAAGTGTCACGGAGAATTGGTAATAAGGCTGACAGGAATCACGTGGGCTGATGTTAGAAAAACGTGGGTAAGTTTATTGCGTCCACAGTTACCAAAGTAAAAATGACTAAGCTGATTATCATGACTACCTAGGAATTAATCTGAGAAATTTGAGAAGTTGCAAGGTGGCTGCTAAAACTTCACATCAGTATCTACAGAATGTCAATATAGTACATTTAACTGGCATATACATTTCTACTTAGAAATTTGACCTGCAGATATTATTAAACATGACCTGTCCATCAGCCTTTATTCTGTTCCAGATTTCTTCCTGTCAGCAGATTTTGTATTTAGGTGGTCTAATTACAAGGTATCTTCAGGGCATCAGGCACAGTCAATGGGCTAAAATGCTGCCTCCTACTAAAGAGTTCACGGAATATCTATTCACTGTGGTAGCAGCAAAGGCAGAAATTGTAATTTATTACCACGCTTCTTAGAACTACTGATACTCCTGGCTGGTGTGGCTCAGTGGATTGAGTTGCTGGCCTGGGAGCCAAAGTCACCCACTGGATTCCCAGTCAGGGCACACGCCTGGGTTGCAGTCCCGGTCCCTGGCTGGGGGTGTGCGAGAGGCAGCCACACATTGATGTTTCTCTCCTCTTGCTCCCTCCCTTACCCTTTCTCTAAAAATAAATAAATAAAATGTTAAAACAAGACTAGCATACTTCATCCCAAAATACACACGTGGTGTGACTGGATTTCCAATGGGAAAGAACATAATTTTGGGACATTGCACAGGGATGTAAGGGACCAGCACTGAGACTCAAACTTGAAAGACAGATTAGAGTATCCCAGAAGTTAAAAACAAACACAAAAACAAAAAGCCCTACGTTTGGTGGCCTTGCAGACCATGAAAGCTCTTTCAGAAAAGTGTCAGAAAGAATCCCAGGACCACCAAGTGTCAAAACACACAAGGCCACGAGACTCTTTGTGCTGGATTTGCGCGCAGGACCTGGGGAGTCAGTCCCCTTACGCTGCTGAGACACTGAAGGCGGATGAACACTCGGGCACCGCCTGAGGCAGGGAAGGCCTCTCAGTCGGGACTGGGGACAGCAGACTGGCCGGGGGCTGGGCCTTCGCACCCCCCGGTGGAGGCGCGGAGTGGACCAAGCTCCGGTTTTGGGGACAAAAAAAAAACACCAAAAAAACCCCAAAACCGAGCGGCGGGAAGGAACGGTTCCAGAGGCTCCTTTTCTCTTCTTCAGGGGCTCCGAGAGCCGGAGGGAGCCCTAGAGGAAATTCCCAGTCCCGGGAAAAACACACCCAGAACGCAGGCCCTCCTTACCCGCCGCTTCTCCTTCCCGCCGGCGCCCGCTCAGGCTCTGCGCTCACTCACGGGACCAGCACCCGGACGGAGGGGGCGGGGGAAACCTGCCTAGGATGTCGAGGTGGGGGCGATAGGGACGCGCGCGGTTGACCCAGGGGTGGAGGCGAGGCCTGGCGAAGATAGCCTCTCGGGCTTCACTCGCCCTGGACGGGTCTGCGCGTGCGCAGTGCTCTTCCGCTCTCCAGTAGCGACGTCCTTGCGGCTCCTGCGGCCGCCGCCCCAGGCTAGTGCTTGATTCCCTCCAAGAACCCTTAGGCTGCAAGCGAAACGTCCTGCCGGTGAGTCTGCTGGGCTCGTCCTTTCCATTCCACGGACGCTCTCTCCATTTGAGGGAGCCCGCGAACCTCAGTGCGAAGGAAAGACAGAGGCGAACATTCGGCAAGGCGCTTCTAATATTTTAACTTAATGTTATTGAAAGAAAATGGACGTACACATAATTAAAGGTGTACAATGTAATGATATATTTATATAGTTTCTCTCCATTCTTTACTAGATTCCGGCACTGTGAACGTATGTCTACTTTCAAGGAAGAAAAAACTCAAAATGTCTGGTTCTTTTCACTGAAGAACCTCGTATGTCACATTAATGGTTTTCAAGCTTTTTGACCCTAGCGCAGAGTGAACAAAAACATTCTACAACAAACCCAATAATACCACATATGTGTGTATGTAAATGAATATACCTGAAACAAAAACTTAACGTTTTTTAAATTTTATTTTTTAATTTTTATATTCAATATTATTTTGTATTAGTTTCAGGTGTGCAGCATAGTGGTTAGACAATCATGTGCTTTAACAAAGTGGCCCCTGGGTGATAGTCAATAACCTACCTGGCATCGTACTCAGCTGTAAACCATTACTGACAATATTAACAAAATTTTACACTTACTACCAGCAATACATTAAATTTCTATTTCTTCTTTTTGGTTGCATTATTAAAAATGCTAAAAATGAACCTATTATTAGGAAAAATTATCAACAACTTGGAAATGAGTGAAATAAATTGCTGGGTGCCCCTTCTGCATAAGTCCGGGCATTGTCTAGCAGAAGCTGGAATGATTTGAATCCATAGGGACCTCTGACTTTTTGTTGACTAAGTTATTTTACAAGAAAATTGATACTTAAAATAATTGTTGTCCACTCTGTAGAAAAGATACCCCAAAACACTACATTATTGACCTATCGTATATTAAATCATTTTTGCCTCTTTTAGCAAATTCATTTCAACATGTCTGATTTTTAGCAAATTTGTACAACATTCCTGTAACATTTTCCAGCTCCCTCATTAGTTAATAAGAGAAATATTGTTTTTGATATGTGTTTATTTATTTAAAAGACTTTATTTTATTTATTTACTTTTAGAGAGAGGGAAGGGTGGGAGAAAGTTGCTCTTCCTCTTCTCCTTCTGGTACCCCTATAATTCGGATATTGGAACGTTTAAAGATGTCCTGGAGGTTCCTATGCCTCTCTTCACTTTTTTGAATTCTTGTTTCTTCCTTCTTTTCTGTTTGGTTGTTTCTTTCTTCCTTCTGGTCCTCTCCATTGATTTGAGTCCCAGTTTTCTTTCCATCACTATTGGTTCCCTGTGCATTTTCCTTCATTTCACTTAGTGTAGCCTTTATTTTTTCATCTAGTTTACAACCACAATCAACCAGTTCTGTGAGCATCCTAATCACCAGTATTTTGAACTGTGCATCTGATAGGTTGGCTATCTTTTTTTTGCTTAAAAGTATTGGCTCTGGGGCTTTGATTTGTTCTTCTGTTTCAGCCATAATTTTTTGGCTTGGACGTGCCTGTTAGGTATGAGGGGCAAGCCAGTTGCTGTGTTGTGGCTATATGTGGGGGCGGGATCAGAGAGAAAGCAATGGCATTTGTTTTGCTCTCTCTCCGATTTCAGTCCCCTCTGCCGCTTCCCACAAGCAAACTGGGCCGTTCTGGTGCTGGTTCCCTGGTGGGTGGGCTTGTGTATGTTCTAGGACCCTGTGGGTCTCTCTAATGAACTCTCCTGTGAGGTTGGGAGTCTCTCCTGGCACCTCAATCCCCACAAATGTTTTCAATCGGTGCTTTTAGGCTTTATTTCCTGTCGCTGGGGCCCTGGGTTGCGAGGTCTGTCTCACTGCCCTTTTTTTGCCTGGTTTATCTGCGCACGAATATGTGTCCGCAATCAGCCAACCGCCTTGGGCCCCTCACTGGGTTGGGTCTGCTCATTTCCCCCCCACGCCCAGGTCTGCCAACCACCACTTTTTCCTGCTGGGACCCCTCTCCACCAGCCACTGACTCCATTGCTCTTACCAGTCTATATGAATTGTTCGTTGTTGGACTTCTGTACAGTTCAACTTTCTGTCTGTTCTGGTTGTGTTTTTGTTTCTAAATCTTTGTTGTTCTTAAATTTGGTTGTGTGAAGAGGCACAGTATTTCCACCTACGCCTCCATCTTGGCCTGAAGTTCCACTTGACAGTTTTGTTTCTTTCTTTCCAAGCTTATATCTTATATTTCATTTTCTTTTGTTTTACTTGGCTGGCTAAGATTTCCAGTGTAAGGTTGATCACGGAAGCAGTATAATGTAGGAATTAATGCGTAGAATTTTGAGCCAAATGCCTAAGTCCAAAACCTGGCTCTGCCACTCTGAGATCTTTAACTTTTAACTTTTCTTGTAGCTCATATTTTTTAAGCTAAACTATGTCTAATTATTTTACATCATTTAATTGTTGTAGGCTTAAATTTGTTAGTGTATGTAAACACTTCCAGAAGTGTCCAACCTTCTGGTGTCTCCAGGCCACACTGGAAAAAGAAGAGTTGTTTTGGACCACACATTAAATATATTGCAACATGTAATCACACACACCAAAAAATCTCATAATGAGACATGTGGGGTCTCTGCTCACAGAGTCCCCCCACCATGAGAATAAGTCTATCAAGAGATGGTCTGCTTGGGGAGGAAAAGTGGCCAATCTCTCAAAGGAGAAGGGCCAGGAACCTATTCCTCAATGGGCTTTTATTGGGTTTAATTTGCACAGGAATACAAGGTATATATGTAAAGCTCATTAATCATTGTGAGGCAGAAATGATTAAACAATAGATATCATCCAAAGAATTCTGAGGGCTTATTCTGAGTCAGGGTCAGATAGTTAAAGGGCCATAAAACTTTGGGAAATAAACTCACTTCATGCTTGGACCCTTATCATTTAAATTGAGGTTATTAGTAAAGTAGGTTTCATAGGATTTTATGCGTTCATTCTTAGGCCTGATTGCCCCAGGGAACCCACCCTTTCCAGAACAGGGCCACACACACCTCTGGCATTGTTTCAGGCTTCAGGCATTGTTTTAGGCTTAAGTCAGTCAAGGGAAGTAAGGAAGCCAAGAGATTAGGAGACTTCTGGGAGACTGAATGAGGACTCAGGCTATGTGAAAGCCAAGGGGCAAGGGTCCATCACCTCCTTTTTCTATAGCCCCCCAAGTCCTTCCCCACGGGCCCCTTCATGACCATACCTATCTTAGGTCGCCCTTCCTTTGAGGAATCTTACCTGTCATTGTCTAACCAGTCATCTGCCCAGGGCCAAGTAGGATGAAGTGAAAGGGGGAAGAGGTGGCGCCCCTACAAGGAAGATAAGTTTTGTCTCCTTAATGGCTTATGGTCCCAAGGTCCTTTTACTCAGCCTTTGCCATAGGGGATTACAGCTTCTGAAACCAGACTGGGTACTTCCCAACAATAAAGTTTTAAGTAAATTTATGATTTTGTGTTGGGCTGCATTCCTAGCCATCCTGAGCTGCTTGTGGCCCTTAGGCTGCAGGTTGGACAACCCTTCAGGTACCTGGTAACTATTAGCACTTTAAAATCATTAATAAAACAAAAATAATAATATCAAATATCCATCTACATTTTCACATTAAAGAACTGACTTTAGCTTTGTTGATTTTTTAATTACATCTTTGTTTCCTTCTTCATTACTTTGTTATAATATTTATTATTTCCTTACTTTAGCTATTATTGAATTTGCTTCTCTTTTTTTCGGTTTAAGTTTTTTGGTTGCTTAGTTCCTGACTTTTCCATCTTCCTTCTTTTAAAATATAGGTTTAAGGCTATAAATTTACCTTGTAAGTATTGCTTATAATGTAAACATGAATGGTACCTCCGTGAGTTAGACAAACAAAATAGCCCTGTAGGATATAGTTAGTGGTAGAGATAGAGCTGACTGGGAAAAAATAATTAAATTTCCTGGACAGTAGGGGTTAAAAGCTCAAGCTTTGGAATCAGAATACCTGAGTTAAACATTCAGACTGTTGCTTACTAGCTGTGTGTCTTTTGGCTAGTTACATGTGCTTTAATTTCTTCATTGGTAAAATAGAATAAATATCTACTTTTAGGTGGTTTATAAGCATTAAGTGAGTTAATACATATAAAGTATCTATACCAGTATCAGGAATAAATGTTATTTTTTCCTTATTTGTTTTGTCTTCATTGGTTGAAATTAAGTGACCATAAATTTATAGTGGCAGCAGTATACCCAGCTGAATGATTTTTCTTCAACAGTGCTTTGCAACCTGCCTGAATACAGAAACATAAACATCTGGATTGATCCAGAGCTCCAGAATTAAGGTTTGGCTATGTGGGTACCACAAAAAGAAAGAGGATCAAAGACCTTGAGGATTTTGTAAGATAGTGGTTGAACGGACTAAAAGAGTTACTCTCAAAAGTCCCAGAGAACTTGTTTAGTGGAACATGCCAGCCTGCTCAAAGCCCCAGATAAGTCTGTGGCTGAGGTCTACTCTTTGCTAAGATTCTTCTTTTGCCAACTTTTCTTTCTACTTTTACTGAGATGAACTGAGAAAGGAATAGAAAGGAGACATGATGGTGAACTTTATTTATTCATTTATTCAACCAATACTTAATGAGTATCAACAAAGCGCCACATTGGTCATGCACTTTAGATCATGGTGATATGGTAGTGGACAAAACAAAGTTCCTGCTCTTGTAGGTTTACATTCTAGTTGGGGAAGCAGAAAATGAACAAATGAATAGATTTATGTCAGAGGATGATAGTATTATGAAGAATAATAAAGGACAAGGGACTAGAACAGGTGTGTCGAACTCATTTTCACCAGGGGCCATATCAGCCTTGCAGTTGCCTTCAAAGGGCTGAATATGATTTTAGGACTGTAAAAATATAACTACTCCTTAAGTAGGGGCAAGGAGCTCAGTGCTGTCATTGGGTAGAAACAAGGTGGAGGGCCTTGTGTTTGCCACCTGTGGACTAGAGAGTGACATACTGGGGAAAGGG